CACCCGGGGAGGCGCAGGCGATGGCTCAGTGGTCAGCTCCTGGCTGTGCCTGATGCGCTGCAGCTGATGTGTGCGTCGGGGAGCAGACCAGCAGGGGGCGACGCTTCTGCCTTTCAGACAGTGAGCGAGTCCACGGGTGCCAGGTGTGGACTGCAGGTCAGGGGAACTCCGGAGAGCAGGCGGTCTGGGTGCGGGACCCTCCACGGGGGAGTCTCGGGCACCTGAGGTTCCCGAGCAAGCACTGCTGTTGCAGCAGACAGCTGGACGGCACCGAGCCACAGGCCTGTCGGTCAGGTGGCGCTCTCCTGGGAGCAGTCACCTGTCCTGGGGAGGTGTCACGGTGATGTCCAGTGGCAGCTGTTCCTGGAATACCCACCACCCTGGGGTTTTTAGGTTTTTGTTTTGTCGATTGGTTGATTTGAAAGCAGAATGACAGAGAAGCCATCTTGTGCCTCACTCCCCAAATGCTCACAAGAGCAGGACTGGGCCAGGTTGAACCCAGGAGCCTGAACCTTCATCCAGGTCACCCCTGTCGGTGCCGGGGGCCTAAGCACTTGGGCGATCTGCTGCTGCTCTCCCAGGCCATCAGCAGGGAGCTCGGCTGGAAGTGGAGCAGCTGGGACTCGAACCGGTGCGCATATGGGATGCCAGCACTGCAGGCAGCGGCTTTACCTGCTACGCCACAGCGCCGGCCCCCAGAGGTGTTTTAAAATGAACTGTGCAGTAGAAAGAACACAAACTGTTAACAGTGTTTAAGAACTCGGGGAAGGACTGATGGGGCCAGAGGCAGAGAGTGACTCGCAGGCTCTCATAAAAGCCACCTCCTGTGATGCCGGCCTCCCGTGTAGGCTCAGGTTCGTGTCCCAGCTCCCTGCTAAGGGCCTGGGAAAAGCAGCGGAGGACGGCCGCAGTGCTTGGGCCCCTGCATCCACGTGGGTGACCCAGAAGCAGCTTCTGGCTCTGTGCTAGCTGTTGCAACCACCTGGGGAGTGAGCTAGTGGATGAAAGATCTGGCTGTCTCTGCTTCTCTCTGTGTAACTCTGATTTTCAAAATAGATCTAAGAGTTTTTTAAAATGTTTATTTATTTGAAAGAGTTACACAGAGAAAGGAGGAGGGGCAGAGAGAGAGGTCTTCCATCCACTGGCTCACTCCCCAGATGACAGCAACAGCCAGAGCTAAGCTGATCCGAATCCAGGAGCCAGGAGCTTCTTCTGGGTCTCCCACGTGGGTGCAGGGGCCCAAGGACCTTCCCAGGTCATAGCAGGGAGCTGGTTCGGAAGTGGAGCAGCCAGCACCCATGTGGGATGCCAGCACTGCAGGCGGCAGCTTTTACCAGCTTCGCCCAGTTTCTCCTCCAAGGCAGCATCCTGCTCATGTGTCCTTGGAGACAGCAGCTGATGCAGGCCCTGCCACCCACGTGGGAGTGGGCTGGAGTTCTGGGCTCCTGGCTTCAGCCTGGTCCAGCCGCCTCTATTGCTGGCATTTGGAGATTGAAGACCTCGCCTGCTGCCTTTCAGGTAGATGAAAATCACAACTTTTTTCTTCTAGTGTGGGGTAGGACAGGGAGAGTTAAAGCTTTTGCATGTAAGAAAAGTTGTAGTGTGCTTGGTGATAGTATCCTGCAATAGAAGAAAATTTAGATGGCAGTGAGCTTCCTGGCACCTGGACGATAGCCTTGAAGTGGGGAGGGGCCGGCGCTGTGGCGCAGCAGGTTAACACCCTGGCCTGAAGCGCAGCATCCCATATGGGCACCAGTTCAAGACCCAGCTGCGCCACTTCCGATCCCGCTCTCTGCTGTGGCCTGGGAAAGCAGTAGAAAATGGCCAAGGGCCTGGGCCCCTGCACCCGCGTGGGAGACGTGGAAGAAGCTCCTGGAAGGGAGACCTCTCTCTCTCTTTGCCTCTCCTTCTCTCCGTAACTCTAACTTTTAAATAAATCTTTTTTTAAAAAAAGAAGTGGGGAAAGCCACACCAAATGTGTGTTTGGAAGAGGCTCACACTGCCAAGGCAGACATGGAAAAGACATGTTCTGTTCTGTTTTTGTTCTTAAGACTTACTTATTTGAAAGGGAGAGTTAGAGAGGCAGAGAGTGAGATTGCACTGGTTCTCTCCCCCAGATGGCTGCAGCAACCAGGGCTGGGCCAGGCCGAAGGCAGGAGTTTCCTCTGGCTCTCCCACGCGGGTACAGGGCCCCAGGACTTGAGCCGTCTTCTGCTGCTTTTTCCAGGCTATCAGAAGGGAGCTGGATCAGAAATGGTACAGCCAGGACACGAACCAGCACCCACTAGGGTGCTGGCATTGCACTTGGTAGCTCTAGCTGCTACACCGCAACACAGGCCCCTTATTACACTTTTAAAGATTTGTATGTTTGAAATGCAGAGGGAGAGATCGAGCTCCCATCCCCTAGTTCACGCTCCAAATGTCCCAACACCCAGCAGCCGGGAACTCTACCTGGGTCTCCCACGTGGGTGGCAGGGGTACTTGGGAGCTGGCTGGGACGCGGAGCAGCCGCGGCCTGAAACCACTCTGCAGTGTGGGATGCCGGCATGGCAAGCTGCGGCTTAACCCACTGTGCCACAGGGCCTGGGGCTGCGTGATGGCCGTGACGAGGACAGGGACACAGCAGCACGTGCGTCTGCAGTGGTTTGTGCGTGCTTGAGGGTCGTTCATGAGCTGTTTGTTGTGATGTTCAGAATCTTTGGGCCCGTGTGTTCCCTTCCACGTGTTTGACAAATGTCACATTTGGAGAGTTCTTAGTCCCTGCTTTGGGACGCCGGTGGGAGCCGTGCGAGCAGCCAGTCCCTGCTCGCCCCATCGGCCCTGGAACGGGGGAGGCAGGCCGCTGTGGTCCGCAGAAGGGCCCGGCTCATGGTGCCCTCTCCCCAGATCGGCTGCAACGCGGTCAGCTGGGCGCCCGCCGTCGCCCCGGGAAGCCTCATCGACCAGCCCTCGGGGCAGAGGCCCGCCTGCCCCAAGAAGTTCGCGTCTGGAGGCTGCGACAACCTCATCAAGCTGTGGAGGCGAGTGGGGTGTGGGGAGAGCGCCTGGGAAACTGCGGCTTCACTCTGGCCGGGTGTGCTGCAGAGGGCTCACGCCCAGGCCGTCTGCTGTCCCCGCCAGGGAGGAGGAGGACGGCCAGTGGAAGGAGGAGCAGAAGCTGGAGGCACACAGCGACTGGGTCCGCGACGTGGCCTGGGCCCCCTCCATCGGCCTGCCCACCAGCACCATCGCCAGCTGCTCCCAGGTCAGTCCTGCCCCTGGACCGCGGGTGCCTGTGCGCAGGCAGCCGGGGGAGGAGCCCGCGCCGCCAACGCCCGGAAGCCCGTTTGGTTTGCTGTTAATGGGTAAGGGTTTTTGTGACTTCATGCTCTGTTTCACAGTATTTTTATTTGAAAGGCAGAGACACAGAATCTTCCATCCACAGGCTCCCTGCCGCGCGTTGGGGCTGAGCCGGGCCAAAGCTGGTGGGCTATCTTCTGATGCTCTCTCAGGCTTTGTAGTAGGGGGCTGGCTCGGAAGTGGTACAGCCAGGACCCAGACCGGTGCACACATAGGATAAGGTCACCGCAGGCCGAGGCGTAACCCGCTGCGCAGCGCCAGTCCTGAGCTGGGTTTTGGCAGCCATAGGGCGCCCAGGGCGACGCTTCCCTCACGGGAGGTGTGTTCCTGGCTGCTGAGGGACAGGGGCTGGGCCAGGAGTTGGTGATGAACACCCAGGGCAGCCGAGAGGCCCCTCAGACCTCCTGACAGCAGCCTGCCTGTGCCTAGGACGGCCGTGTGTTCATCTGGACTTGTGACGATGCCTCCGGCAACACCTGGTCCCCCAGACTGCTGCACAAGTTCAACGACGTCGTGTGGCACGTGAGCTGGTCCATCACCGCCAACATCCTGGCCGTCTCCGGGGGAGACAATAAGGTACAGCCGGCTCTCCCTGTGCCTGCAGCCCCCGAGAGCAAGCCCAGCTGTGGCTGGCAAAGCCACCTCCCGGGCCCTGGGAGGTACGCCCAGGCCCGACCTCCTGCCCACTGGGCTCTGTGTCCTCATGGTGATGTTCACCTAGCTCAGCAAAAAGTATCAAAGAGACAGAACCCATAACCAAGCAAAAAGGTAGAGGGCACTCCCCAAAACAGGCTGCCCCCGGAGCAGGTGGCTGCAGGGTCCTGCCCTTGCCACACTGTGCCTGGCGGAGCACAGTGGTCTCCTAGTTCTAAGTGTACTGAGTCTCAGTCGCACCCCCCTCCCCCACCCACGGGCCGCAGGGCTGGGCAGAAGCTCCTAAGACCTGCGGCACATCTCTGGGGCCTGGTTTCCAGGGAGTGCACCCCGGTTCACACGGCTGGAGCTGCCGCAGGTTTCGTTTTCCTCTGAAAAAGATGGCATCAGTTTCAGAGAGTGGCTCCGTGGAGACGTCTGCCTGCAGCACGTGGGGACCGCATGCTCCCCAGAGCCGTGACCGTGTGCGTACCTTGCAGGTGACCCTGTGGAAGGAGTCGGTCGACGGGCAGTGGGTGTGCATCAGCGACGTCAACAAGGGCCAGGGGTCCGTGACGGCGTCCGCCACAGAGGGCCAGCAGAACGAGCAGTGACAGGACCCGCCGCTCCAGGCCGGCCCCCGGGTCAGCTGCCGCAGCACTGGCAGGAGAGCGTCCTCCCGAGTCAGCTGCAGCCCGCTGGCGTGATCTGATCGGGTCGTGGCCTGCCCTGCGAGAGCACCAGTATGAGGAAGAAACTGCAAGTGACCTTCAGAGCTATTCTTTTACATCCTTTAGGCCATTTTAATGCACCTTTGGTTCAGGCATTATTGGGGGTTTTTTGTTTCCAATGGAACTAAATAAAATCGTATTGCTAATAGTTCTCGCTGCATGACACCCACCCCACCTCCCAAGAGAGCTTGTTGAGGCTGGCCCCTGTGACCAGAGCGTACCTGTACGAATCCCTACAGGAAGGGAGTCCACGGTGGGCAGCAGAACCCATGCCAGGCAGGCCTGGGACAGGAGCGCACACGGGAGGACAGCAGCGATGCCGGCAGCCCCTCTGCCTGCCCGGTCAGGCCACCAACCCCAAGCCTTTCTGCACTCTGAAGATTGAGGCGAGAGAGGCCAAGGAAGGCGCCCCACGCGTGCTGCTCCGTGGGCACAGGCGGCCGGACTCCAGCCAGCCACACGCCCAGAAAGGCTAACAGCAGATCCACGCACGGCCCAGCAACAGGGACCAGAATCCCCAACAGCTCCCCAGAGGACGGAAGAGCACTCGGCGCCCTCGGACGCACAGGGTGAGCACACTCGGGTCTGACAGAGCACAGCCGCAGCATAGGGAGAAGGCAGACGTCAGCGGTGCTGCGGGTCTGGGAGCTGGCGCGGTCGGGCAGCACACGGAATGCCAACGGAGCTGGGGAAGGCAGCACTCTCAGACCCCCAGCGAGGAATCCGTGACATCACTAAAGTCCCACTTGCTGTGGTGTAGCGGGTAAAGCCGCTGCCTGCAGTGCCAGCGTCACACGAGGGCGCCGGTTTGAGTCCTGGCTGCTCCACTTCTGATCCAGCTCCCTGCTAAGGCCTGGGAAAGCAGCGGAAGATGGCCCAACTCCTTGGGCCCCTGCATCCGTGTAAGAGACCCGGAAGAAGCTCCTGGCTTTGGACTGGCACAGCTCCTGCTGTTGTGGTCATTCGGGGACTGAACTCTCTCCCTGCCTGTCACTCTGCCTTTCAAATAAATAAAAAATTTTTTAAGTCCCATTTGCAAGAGCTACCAAAAAAACCCTAGGAATTCATTTAACCAAGGAATTTTTGGCCCCCGATTCAGCCTGGCTGGCCCTACATGTTGTGGGCATTTAGGAGGTGAACCTAAATGGACAGCTCACCCCACCCCAACGCTGTCACTTCATTTGCAATAAACCATAGTTTTTAAAAACTGATTCACAGGATGCACAGATGACCAAAACAACGAAGCTGAAGGCCTCACGGCACCTGATTTGAAGACGACAGAGCTACTGGGGTGCTTCCAAAATTCCATGGGGAAATACAAGCAAAAGGTGTTGTTTTGTTTGCTACAAAAGTGAACTCCATGCAGAGTTACAGAGAAAGATGAGACATCTTCATCTGCAGGTTTAATCCCCAAATGGCACAATGACCGGGGTGCAGCCAGGCTGGAGCCTGGAACTGCCTCCGGTCTGCCCCATGGGTGCAGGGGTCCCAGGACTTGGGCCATCTGCTGCTGCTTTCCCAGGTGCACTAGCAGGGAGCTGGATCGGAAGTGGAGCAGCTGGGGACTCCAGTGCCCATAAGGGACGCCAGCGTTGCAGAGACTACCTGCCACGCCACAGTGCTGGCCACCCATGCGGCCTTTCATGTGACCTGTTTTCCCTGAACTTTTTGAGGATGCCCAGTAGAGTAACCAAAACGGCATCTGTGCCCTGCAGCTGACAGGTCCCAAAGACAATGGTGACAGGACAGCGGGGGTAAGTGGGCCTCCTTGTGCAGAGCACGTGCCCCTCACAAATAAACAGATCCAGCCCTGAAACTGCCCATCAAAACGGGAGCACCAAGACAGGCAGGGTAAGCACTCATCTGGGTAAGACTGCAGAAGCAAAACCAGACTAAGGACTGTGTCAAACTAAGCCCTGCACAGTAGGGAAACCAAACGAAGAGAACAGACTGGGAGAGAAGGTGTGCAAACCACTCACAGGGCAGAGGACCAGCGTCCAGAACGTGCCGAGCTGTCGCTGTGGCGTAGCAGAAGAGCTGCCATCGGCAGAGCCAGCGTCCCATGTGGGCGCTGCTTCAAGTCCTGGCTGCTCCACCTCCAATCCAGCTCCCTGCTAGTGCACATGGGAAAACAGCGTTAGATGACCCAAGTACTTGGGGCCCCGCACCCACGTGGGAGACCAGAGGAAGCGCCTGGCTCCTGGCTTCAGATTGGCCCAGCTCTGGCCGTTACAGCCATTTGGGGAGTAAACCAGCAGATAGAACACACCTCTCTCTGTAACACTGCCTTTCAAATAAATCTTCAAAAAGGAAAAAAAAAAATCCAGAATATGTAAGGAATTCAACAACAAAAGGTTCAAAAAGGAAAAGATGGTAACAGACATCTCACAAGGAGAGACGTCCAACACATGCATGAAAACGCACCCACATGACTGGTGTCAGGGAAATGCCAGTCAATACCGTGGACTACTGGGGCCAGTGCTATGGCATAGTGGGTAAAGTTGCTGCCTGCAGTGCCGGCATCCCGTGTGGGTACGAGTTCTAGTCCTGGCTGCTCCACTTCCCATCCAGTTCTCCGCTATGACCTGGGAAGGCAGTGGAAGATGGGCCAAGTCCTTGGGCCCTGCACCTGCATGGGAGACCTGGAAAAGGCTCCTGGCTCCATATTGGTGCAGCTCCAGCCATCTGGGGAGTGAACCAGTGGATGGAACTGGTTAAATATCCAAAGCAAATGGAGTTAGCACACCAGAGATTTCTGCACGTCCATGTTGAATGCAGTCCGAATCCTAACAGCTAAGACCCGGAGTCGGCCTAAGTGTCCAGCACCCAGCACAGGCCTGACCAAGAGTGTTGCCTACCATTTGCAGCAAACGGGTCAACGAGAACGCTATGTTGACAGGCGCAGAAGGATGATACCAACTGGGACTGCCAAAGAAGCTCCAGCAACGCTTTCGCGAAGGTGGTCCCTCAGCCCCCAGACACAGCCCTGGGCCAAAGCCAGGGAGAGGGGCTGTTTCACAGTTCTGTGTGCCAGGGAACCCAAGAACTGCCATCAGATTCTCGCCCATGATGAACAGAAAACTCTGCAAACCAGCGCGCGGATGAGGCGCAAAACCAAGAGTCAGACTTTGGCTGACCAGTGGTTCAGAAAGACAGGAGATCCCCACTTCCACACACGGCCGCTAAGCAGCGAGCGAGCCACTGCACACGCTGACGACCGGCAGTGCTTGGCAAAGGGGAGCAGACCAGGCGGGCGCAGCCCCGGCTGACCGCCTGCAGGAGCTTCCAGGACAAGCAGAGACACAAACCCAAAGCCGGCGGTGGCACAGGGCTGGGCGGAGAGACCAGCACGCAGGAAGGCCAAGGCCAGTGGGGCTCGAAGCAGAGCACTAGAGGGGACGCAAGTCCTTGGGCCCCGGCACCCACACGGGAGACCCAGAAGAAGCTCCTGGCTCCTGGCTGCGGACCGGCCCAGCCCTGGCCATTGCAGGCATTTGAAGAGTGAATTAGTGAACGGAAGACCTCTCTAACTTTCAAATGTAGAAATCTTTACAAAGAAAAAAGAAGTCTGTCTGGGGCGAGTGTTGCGGCGCAGGTTACACGGCTGCTGCAGGGCTGGCTTCCCACACCAGCGCCAGTTCAAGTCCCAGCTGCCCCGCGCTTCCTGCTGAGCCTGGAAGACAGTGGAGATGGCCCAAGGCCTGGACCTCTGCCATGCATCTGGGAGCCCAGATGGACTTCCAGGCTCCTGGCTGCAGCCTGGCCCAGACCTAGTACTCTGCCCATCTGGGACGTGAACCAGCAGACGCAAGACCTCTGTCTGCCTTCTCCACCTTTCAAATAACTATTTGAAAATAACTTTTTAGAAGATACATTAAAAGTGTAGTAAGATAAATGCAGGTGGAAAAGACTTTTAAGCTAAAAAAATAAATAATTGCCAGCAGGGCTGCCCTGTAGAACGGCACGTGGGCTTCAGGAGGAAAATACCAGATGCAAATGTGGACCTGCGAGGAGGAGTGAGCAGCCCAGAGACCGTCAGGATGCCCACCCCTCGTCCTTTACCGACACTGCTGACTGCCTGAGGTCACTGTGCGGTGTATTACGTCTCCTGTGGCGCTGTTCCGCTGCCTCCAGGAAGGGCGCCGTGTCCCTGGACGGCGCACTGCCACAGCCACGTGCCTGAGCCCTGCAGCACGCACTCTACACACGGCAGAGCACAGCCACAAAGCCCGCGCACCCCGACGTGGGCACCGAGAGGCAACGGCAGAGCCGGCAACAGCCAGGAACAGAAGGGAACGTGGGGCAGCTGGCAGCGACCGCACAGGCCAAGCCCGCTTCCCGGCGACGTGCCAGAGGCTGGTTTCCCTATAGAAGCCAGTCCCCACCTGAGCGGGCGTTTGGGGAGTGAGCCAACAGATCTGACTTCCAAATCAACACCAGGGTGAGGGGAGAATCCAGACGCTGACCGATGCTGAGGCTGAGGGGGCCTCAGAGCCTCGTCTTCCTGCTGTTAAACACAGCAGGAGGAGGTGAGGAAACTTGGCTTCTCTAAGTCCCATTTCCTGTGGGAGGCCGGACTCACCTGGGACGCTGCTGGACTAGTCTTGGGCCCCACCTTCCAACAGCCGGGCGGGGCTGTGGCGAGGCTGTGAAGCTGTGCACCCCGAGTCCGCTGCAGCCCCTGGGGGCCCCCACACTCCCTGTGAGCAGAGCGATGCGAGCTCAGGTCCCGAGGTACAGGACACACGGAGCTGCACAGGCAAGCATGGTAACATGGAGGGAAGGTGATCCGTGCAACACAGAATTTTCCAGAATGAGGGACCCGGGCGTATCTTGAGGCTGAAGGCAGACGCTGTCAGAAAGAGGCTGAGAGCTAGGCTGCAGCAGACCAGGGAGGAGCCCTGGGGGAGACGCCTGGGCCAGGAGGAGGGGAGACCTTGGAGGGACACCCAGATTCCATGGCATGGCCTGTGCAGCCTAGCACAGGAGGCACACGCCGGGCTGCTGCTCGGGTGAGAAGGGGCCAGTCCACACTGAACGAGCCGTGAGCTAAAACCCACACCAGGTGTCAGAGACTCCATATTTTTAAAAAGTCGATACACGGCAGGTCAGCTGCTACCTGGGGCCCCCACGTCCCAGGTCGGAGCGCCGGTTCAAGCTGTTGGCTTCTGATGCCGCTCCCTGCTAATGCACCTGGGAAGTAGCGCAAGACGGCAAGTGCGTGAGTTCCTGCCACCCCCTGGGGGACCAGGATGGAGTTCCAGGCTCCAGGCTTCGGCCTGGCCCAGCACCAGCCTTTGTGGGCATTTGGAGAGTGAACCACTGGATGGCTGGTCAGTCTCCCTCTTTCTCCTCAAATAGAGAGGGAGGGAGAGGGGGAGAGGGGGAGAGGGAAGAGGGGGACAGGGGGAGGGGACTGGGCTGGACCTAGGACTAGGAACAGACCAATCTCAACTGAGGACAGAAGGCCGCATCTCCCACCTTGGGAGTGGCCGCCCTGGCCTTGGCCATCATCCGGGAACCGCGCAGGACACTAAGCCACATGCTGTGCCTTCCTCCTGCACACGCCTGGTCCAGGAGGCCTGAGGAGGCGGTGGGGTACTTCTGGCGAGCTTCCCCTCCCTGCCTCTCCCGCTCCGGGGACTCCGAGGCATGTGGTGAGGGGGGTTTGAACCCCACAACCTTTTGGTTCCCCCAAGATAGCGAGGCAGGCGGCAGTGTTTACCAGCTGCCAGGTTATCTAAGATCAACACCGGCGCTGCAGGCCGGCTTCGTGCCTCCGTAGGCGCCTCGTCTCCAAGGCTGGGGCGACCTGACACTGCCTGTGTCCTCTGAGGGATCAGCTCCCCCCGCACCTCCCAGCCCCAGGGCCTGAGGGAGTGGGGGGGGGGGGGGCGGGCGCACAGGCTGCCGTCCTGCGGGGACCCCAGCCTCATGGTGCGGGTGGTGAGACTGCTTCCCACGGAAGGCCCAGCCCTGCCTGCGCCCCCTCGGCCCCGAGTCTGCCAGAGTCCAAGCCTCCTTCGAGCCCTCCCAACAATTGCCATCATGTCCACGTTCCTCCAACTGGACACCCAGCCCCAGCCCCAGCCCACGGAGGGCACACTGTGGAAGCCCACGAGAAAAGCCACTGCCCTAGAGAGAGGTGACGGGGCGGGGCCAGCCTGTGTGGTTTCCTATCAAACTACCGTGGGCCTCCTGGCTCCACAGCACATGGAGCCCCCTCAGCCCGGAGTCTCTAAACCACCGGAACCTCTGTACGGACACCTGTGGCCCTGAGCGGTCAGCGCCGGACATCCTGAGACGCAGCCCCGGGTGTGACAGTCCCACAGGCGTCAGCTGCAGGCCCAGCACTGCACACCCGCCACCTCACTCACTCCTCAGGCACGGACTCGGGGCCCACGAGGCCCAGTGTCGCAACAGGCATCCCTCAAGCTCAGAAACAAAGCCCACTGGGAACAGGGAGGCCAGGTGTGCAGCCACGGAAGGGCCATCCCCGCACCTGCTCCTCGGGGCGGTCAGGGGTGCATTCCTTGGCTGAGAGGGGACTTCCCAGTGGGGGCGTGCACGTCACAGGCATCAGCCACAGGAAACAGCAGCGTGCCACGGAGTCCTAGTGCCGGCACCGGCATCCCACCAGGGGTCAGCTGAGGTCACACACTGGCAAAGCCAGGCCCTCGTGGGGTACCTGAGCAGATGGCTCAGCCCCCTCGGGGCACGCGGCCTCCACTCCGGTCTCCACCCAGGGCACAGCAGCATCTGAGCTCCCGAGGAACGTAAATGAGCCGCCTGGGGCTGGACTGCCTCCAGGATGAGGGCGAGGGCTTAAGACAAACACCAGGCTTCCTATATAAGGCCCGGGCAGCCCCTGGGCCTCACCTGCACCAGGAATCCCAGACGTGCTCTGCTCCCAGGGTGCGTGTGGTTTAGAGGTTTGGCTTGCGGGGTGACTACTCGACCTTCTAGAACCACCACAAAGGTGAGGGGGAACGAGGTGCAGGGGCCCAGGGCTTGGGACTAAGCAGGGGACACCCAACATCCGGGCCAAGTCCCACTGCCTGGCTCCGTCCTCTCCTGCCCTGGGGAGCCCCTCTGCTCAGCAGCCGCGTGAACTCAGGCCTGTGGGGGGTGAGCAGGCTCCTGGAGACCCTCTCTGCCCCCAGCTGAGCCATGCTCTCCGCGGGGACCGCCTGCAGCCTGCTGCTCCTCAGCGTGCTCTGGGTGGACGTGGCCATGGCCGGCTCCAGCTTCCTGAGCCCCGAGCACCAGAAGGCCCAGGTGAGCCCCCTCCCCCGGCGGAGCCCACTCGGCACGGCCGTGGGGCCTGACGCCCGGCTCAGCACGGCTGTGGGGCCTGACGCCCGGCTCAGCACGGCTGAGGGGCCTGACACCCGGCTCTGGACATGAGGCTCCGGTCTAAAGAGATCATCTCCCCTCTCCAGCAGAGAAAGGACGCCAAGAAACCACCTGCGAGGCTGCAGCCACGCGCGGAAGACAACGGGCAGGAGGAGGCGGAGGACCAGCTACAGATCCGGGTTGGTGGCAGGAAAGGGAGCAGGGCGGGCCCAGCGGGGAGACCACGTCCCGGCTCCAGCAGCTGAGCTCGGCCTGGGCTCCAGGGCTTTCTGCAGGTCACTCGGCAGTGGGTGGAGAAGGCGCCGGGGACGCCTGCTGAGCTCCAGGGGAGCCGGCAGCCCAAGATGAAAGCACCCAGGAGGAACACTGGGTCCCGGGTTCCCGCCCAGAGACTGTTCTACTCAGGGTGCCTGAACTTGGGGTGGAGCCCACTGAGCAGTAACCACCTCACCTGCAGAGCAGGGGGAGAGCAGGCTTGTTCCTGCCCCAGCCAACGGCAACCCAGGCCAGGAACAGGTGGGAAACAGCACAGGAATTAAACGGAAGGGGCAGGTCGGTGCGGAGCACTGGTTAGGGCACTGGCGCTGTGCATCACAGCACCTGGTTAGGGCACAGGCATTCTGTATCAGAGGTCCTGGGTAGGCACAGGCATTCTGTATCAGAGGTCCTGGGTAGGCACAGGCATTCTGTATCAGAGGTCCTGGGTAGGCACAGGCATCCTGTATCAGAGGTCCTGGTTAGGCACTGGCATCCTGTATCAGAGGTCCTGGGTAGGCACAGGCATTCTGTATCAGAGGTCCTGGTTAGGGCACAGGCATTCTGTATCAGAGGTCCTGGTTAGGCACAGGCATTCTGTATCAGAGGTCCTGGGTAGGCACAGGCATTCTGTATCAGAGGTCCTGGTTAGGGCACAGGCATTCTGTATCAGAGGTCCTGGGTAGGCACAGGCATTCTGTATCAGAGGTCCTGGGTAGGCACAGGCATTCTGTATCAGAGGTCCTGGTTTGGCTCCTCTGCTTCCAATCCAGCTGGGAGGCAGCACCTGGGTCCCTGCCACCCACATGGGAGAGGGAGCTGGAGTTGTGGGCTCCTGGCTTCTGCCTGCCCTGGTGCTCTGGACACTAGCAGAGAACCAGGGGATGGGAGACTCTCCCTCTGCCTCGCGGGTAACACTGAGGAGGAAGGAGACGGCAGGGGGGGGTCTGCACGGACCTGTGCTTCAGGGAGTGGTGTGGATAGCTCTCCTGTGCTGACACTCGCCGCACCTACACTGCGACTTCCCGGGGCACTCAGTAACGCAGCTGCTCAGCTGCTGGGCCTGTGCAGATCCCGTCCAGTTACTCCTCTCCAACAACCAGGGACGCGGGCAGGCCTCAATCACTGTTCTAACTTACAAACCAGGAGCAGGAGCTCAGAGAGGCCAACGCACTTGCCCGAAGCACCACAGCCAGTGTGGGGCCGACCCCAGTCCCCGGGCCTCGTCCTCTTCCTCACTGGGGTGGGGGTGGGGGGCAGCGCCCAGCCTACAGCGCGGCTGCGGTGCCTCTGCCTTGGCCTCCCAGACCGCTCACCGTGCTCTTCCCTGGCCCCTTGGTGACTGCCAGGTGAGGACTGGGAGCCACTGAGGGGCGAAGCTCTCGGGCCTGGGCCTGGGCCGCCACTCAGCTACCCGAGGGGCCCTGAGGGCGGGGTGGGCATGTGACTGACACCCTGGGTCCTCTCTGCCCCTCCCTAGTTCAGCGCCCCCTTTGATGTGGGAATCCAGCTGTCGGGGGCTCAGTACCAGCAGCACGGCCGGGCCCTGGGCAAGATCCTTCAGGACATCCTTCGAGAAGAGACCAAAGGTGAGCTCTCGCCCGGGTCCCAGCCGCAGGCCCTTCCTCCCCTGCCACCTCTGTGGGCAGCTGAGTGTGGCTTCGAGCTGGGCTGCTGCCCTCGGAGGACAGCAGGCTCCAGGACCAGGCTCCATCTCCTTAACGGTAAAGGAAGCAGACAAGGTTACCTGGTGCGCAGTCGCGTCTGTGAGGTGTGCGAGGGGCCTTCGAAGGCTCCCGGCAAACAGGCAGGCCCTCCCTCTAGTTCTACCTTCCGCAGACGCTTCCACGGCACGGCCATGCGCTCAGAGTGGGCCCCTCGCCGCGGGCGCCGGGCTTGTCCAGCCGTGCTGACAGAGCACCACACCCCTCACCCACCCTGGGCTTCACTCCGCAAACGCCTGCTACAGGCAAGGCTGGGCTGAGCCAGCAGCCAGGCGCGCTCGGTCCTCCACACGAGGGGAGGAAGTGGGGCCTGGGCCATCACCGGCTCCTCTCGAGGCGCACCAGCAGGGAGCCGAGCCAGGCTCTGCGGTGCAGTGCAGGCACCTCAAGCAGCGACCGCACACGCCCAGCCTAGGCGTTGGCTCCGACCTGCATCCTTTCGTGTCTCATGAAGACACCACCAAGCCTCTGGCTTCTGCCTGGCCCAGGCCGGCTGCTCCGAGCTTCCAGGGAGCAGTAAATCACCAGATCAAAGCTCTCTCCTGTCTCTATTTTTCAGATAAATAGAATAAGACAGAATAAAAGAAACCCAAAACCAAACAGGCCTGCCTCTGGAAGCATCACCAGCCCACCGCTCCCCACACCCAGGCTGAGGCAGGGCCCAGGTCCCCACACCCAGGCTGAGGCAGGGCCCAGGTCCCCACACCCAGGCTGAGGCAGGGCCCGGCGAGGGGGGGCTCACACCCAGGCTGAGGCAGGCAGGGCCCACTACTCCTCACACCCAAGCTGAGGCAGGGCCCGGGAGCCCCACACCCAGGCTGAGGCAGGGCCCGGGGGCCCCACACCCAGGCTGAGGCAGGGCCCGGCGGGGGGGGGCTCACACCCAGGCTGAGGCAGGCAGGGCCCACTACTCCTCACACCCAGGCTGAGGCAGGGCCTGGGGGCCCCACACCCAGGCTGAGGCAGGGCCCGGGGTCCCGCTGTCCACTGCACACATCTTCCCCTCCGGGGCCACACCCACCCCGGGGAAGAAGAGCCACCTCCCATAGCGCTGGCAGCACGGCAGGCCCGAATTCTGAGCTGGCCTCTTGCTTCGCAGAGGCCTCGGCTGACCAGTGATGCCGCGTGACCGGCCCACCTCGTGCCCCGCCCGGCTGGGAAGCCCTGACCTGGCTTTCAGAGGCTTCCGCCACACCCCCCACTGCTGTCCCGGCTCAGGAGGCAAATAAACATTCCGATTTTCAAACCTGATAGCCAGTGTTCAGAGTAATTTATTTCACCTGAGACGAAAACTGCACATCTTACTTTAATAAAAGACCGAAAAACAGCAATTCTTGGTCTGTGGCCAAGAGGCAGACACGCCCACCTGGAAACGCACCCTCGACCAGGGGGAGGGGCAGCAGGGAGGTGTGGAGACACACACAGCCCCCCGAGGCGGCGGCACAGCTACCCGAGCACATCCGAGCGCACTGCCAGCCTGCTGACGACCGGCGGCTGTGTGCGGCAGAGCCTCCACCACGCCACAGCAGCCGCTGGGACAACTGGGCGAATGACTGGCAGCGAGACCACAGCGCCTGCCAGTGCAGATGCCCCAGGCTGGGCCGGCCCTGCTGACTTCACTGACACCGGGTACCCCCAACTCCAGCTCACAGCTGAGAGGAGCCTCAGCGCTCCAGCTGACTTCCAGGAGACAGCGCTGGGAGGACTGTCACTCACGAGCCATGCACACCTCCGTGTACGCGAGCATAAACGAGATTCCCAAGTGCTTCCATCAAACGACCACAGTGGCCTGGGTTGGGCCAAGCCAAAGTCAGAAGCCAGGAACCACTTCTGGGTCTTCCGTGTGGGAGCAGGGCCCAAGCATTCGGTCCGTCTTCCACTGCTTTCCCAGGCCGTTAGCAGGGAGCTGGATCGGAAGTGGAGCAGCCAGGACTCAAATCACTGCCCCTATGGGATGCCGACATTGCAGCAGCACCAAAACGCTGGCCCCTGGAACTTCTGAGAAATGCAAAATGTGGGTTAAGTTGCCACCAGTGATGCCAGCGTCCCACGTGGGCACCAGTTAAGAGTGCCAGCCGCTCCCCTTCCAATCCAGCTCTCCGCTACGGCCTGGGAAAGCAGCAGCAGACGGCCCAAGTGCTTGGGTCCCTGCACCCACGTGGGAGACCCCAGCCATCTGGGAGTGAACCGGCAGATGGAAGCTACTGAACGACTTACAAAGAAAGGCTTAGAAGCCAGGGAGCCTCTCCCAGGAGCACAGCACACTGCGGAGCAAGCTGGCCCTACGTCCCACAGAGCAAGTGTGACCAGCAGGCATCACTTACCAAAACACACCCAGCCGGGGGGTCCTCACCCGATCTGGCAGCGCAGGAACAGGGTGTCCTGCTTCCTCTCACGGCCTTCCCCCCGTCTCGCCAGCCCCAGCTCCGCCGTCAACTCCACATCCGTCCCTTGTGCAGGCAACACGTCTCATGTACTTCCACCTCTAAGACAGTCACGCACGGCTGAACGACACACGATCTCACAGAAAGCCATCACCAGCTGATTTCACGGATGCGTGAACACTGTAGAGCGTACTTAACACAGAGCTAGACATACAGCTGCGCACACACCAGCCATGGCCCTGGCCTCACCTCACCATGGAGACAGACGGTGCACCTGTTGCTCCTAGGAGCACGAGACGGACGAGGCTACTACTGCACAACTCAGCACGCTGTCTCCAGTGAGACGGTCATGCATCGAGTCATGTCCTGCACCTGGGTGCTATGTGCCGCACTGTACCACGTCTGCTCCCACCAGCGTCACCACACAGGCGAGCGACGTCTTGCACTTACGTCACTAGGAGCTGCAGTCCATGACCGCCACGCTCATCTGGACCTCACCCACAACTGGGCCCAAAGCCCTCCTCTCAACAGCTCTGCAAGAGGTCCAAGGCCCAGGAAACCAGCTCCGACATGGTGCCAAAGCATCTGCAGACGGGGCCTGGGGGACAGGAACCAGCCCTCGGAGGGCTGCCACTTACCTCAGGCTTCCATCGCGGAAGTCGAGAACTTTTCTCTCTCAAAGCCTCAACACGCGCTCTCTCCGGCTGCCTCAGGTCACCCACTCGGCACCCGCGCTGGGCTCCGCGCTCGGTGCAGGCAGCAAGCTGTGACGCGAAGCCAGGGGCTCTGGGCTCACACAGGATCCAGACAGACACGCGGAGTGGCTTGGGCTGCTCCCTGGGTCACCATCAACACTGAACACGCGGTCTCACGTGAGGACACCGGACCCAGAGCAGGCAGTCACGGTCACTGGCTGTCTGTCACTCCGACAGCCTGCTGGGCACCTGGCGCTGTTGTCAACGCTTAGAGATGAATGGAATTTCCAGTCATTTTCACAGCAAGCCCACCTAAGACAGAAAAACTGCAGAGAAATGCAGCAGCTTGCCCAAGGTCACGGCGCACACCGGCGCAGCTGGCCAAGCACAGGCGCAGGGCTCGGCGTCGCCCCCTCCGCCTCATTCCACCACCCTGCCATCAACAGTACTGGGCATGGTGCCAGCTAAGGGCGGGGTCAAGGTCAGAAATGGCAGAGGACGACACCATCCAAGGAAACAGACAGCCTTGAGAAAATCTACCACTCCAGACACGCTCCTGATCGACTCCCTCACCCACTGCACACGCTACCTCCCAACGCCACCAGCAAGGCACCCGCCGGAGGAAATCCCCTGCCTCCTTTGCGTTCTGTAACCGAGGGGTGCACGCTCAGAAATCCCTCCTGACAGGGCCCTCACGGAGCCGGCTGCCTTGATGGTCCACACTTCCACACACACTGATGGGGAGCACTTAGGGCCACATCTGCAGCCCGGGCTTATTTGTCCCACTGCTATGCACCCCAGGGGCCACCTGCCTTTATTTTACAAAATCAAGGGATGCAAAGAAAACAGTGCTGAGAGCCAAAGATCAGAGTCTGTCCTAAACTTCACACAGAAATAAAACCTGCAACACCGGAGGAGCCCAGAGAGGACCTTCAGACACAAACCATCACCAAGCAGACAGCCAGGTGTGTGTGCCACAGCCAAGAAGCAACGTGCTGAAAACCTGCCAGGGACCGTGCGACTCTGGGGGCTGTCTGACCGCCGCGCACCCCTGGGGCACAGCCAGCTCCTCCTGACACGGAGGCTCACCTCTCGGCCCTCGCTCTTGTGTCCAACACCTGAGCACACGGTGAGGGCACTGGCTGCGGCAGGACCCAGGATCTCCTCCTCAGCACATCCAGAGGCAACCGCGGAGGCAGCGTCCAGCAGCCCGAGCGCCGTGACTCAGCAACACCCCCAGGCACCTGCTGCTCCCCTCCCGCCGCTCTGCTCGGAGCATCTGGGCTCCTTTCACAGGTTTGCTCCTTCCACCGGCCTTCTCCAGCCATCATCTGCCCTCAGTTTATAAACATGAGGGAGGCAAAGACAAAGGCGCTGGCAGTGAACAGTGCGCTGCCCAGGCAGTCAACGCTCCGAGGGCCATCTGCCTACATTACCTCTCACCGGGAGAGAACGTCCCAGGACAGTGGGTCCCGGGGTGCACGGCGGGTCGGCACCAGGACCACACCACCGTCCCTCAGAGAAAGCACCAGACAAGGAGCCCACGGGAGCCGGCTCGGGATCCATCACTTTATTTCCAACGGGAGCGGCGTCCAGCAGCACACAGAGGCAGTCACACCAGCTATCCCCACACAGCCCACGCCAGTGCCAGCCCACACTCACGCCACACCACGAGGTTTCACCGCGGAACCCCAGGGAGAGAAGCAGATAGCACCTGTGCTTCTCCTTGGCAAGGGGAGGGCAGAGGCTCGGAGACGGCCGCTCGGTCAGGACATGGTGCAGAGACGGCTGGCAGCGGTGACAGGCTCAGCAACCCCCCAACTCTTCCCAGCAGGAGATCGGGTCCCCCGCTTCCCCACCCTGGCACATCTGAGGCACAGACAACCTCACAGCACAGCTGGCCCACGGGAGACGGGAAGTGGACTGAGGCTACTTCCCAGGCCAGGTACCATGTACTAGGGAAGATACAAAAAACTAAACTGACTGCATATAGCTTACAAGGCTCAAACGTGCCTTCCAAAACACCTAGGGGCTCCCCCTGAGGTCATGAAGGTCATTTAAGCCATGAAGAAATAGGGAAGAGACTCTGGGTGGCTCAACTGTCTCACTGGGGGAGCCTGTGGGGAGGGATCCTTTGGACCCAGGGCAGTGTCCTCACACTGCACCCTGAACCTTCAGGACCCCGGGCCTGCAGTGAGCAATCCTTCACAAGGCACGGGCAGGGGGCAGAGCAGAGCCCTGGCTGGAGATGACACGTGTGCCCCCAAGTCAGATACCACGGGAACCAGAATGACACAGGACACACAGCAGGCGCTACTGCCCGGAGCTCCAGACACCTACGCTGATCTACGCCCCCGGAGGGGCAGAATACAAGAGACTGTAACATGAGAGCAAAACGGATTCTTTCTAGTCCAGGACAGGGAGGCAAAAACGCAACAAAGCAGGCTGGGACCCAACACCAGCAAGGGCGTGTGAGCAGGGCACCTCCTTTAGGGTCCTCATTCCCAACAAGACCCCTTCCTCGAGGGCTGCAGTCTGTCCCGGATCTCCACCTGCCAGGACTTCGCAGGGACAACAGGCGCCCCCAGCACACTGCGTGCTGCCGGCAGCCCAAGTCCTCCTGGCTGTGCGGACACTGGACGCCAAGATGACTTGATCCAGAGGGGAGCAGGTGACTTCCTGGTTGCAAGACCAACCGCTCAGTCTCCAGGGAGCGCCCCAGGCGGTTCCCACGTGGGAGCTCATGCTCCAAACTGAGTTCTGCTGAGTACCAGGCACACAGGTGCTCCTTCCCCAGCTGTCCTGGAGCCTTCTGGACAGGAAGCAAGTCCCAGTGCACCGGCCCCACGCAGAAGCCTTATGACGAGGGTCCGAGGAAAACATTTGTTCTGGCTTTCTTGGTTCCGGCAGCTCTGCAAACATCTGGAGCTGGGACAAACAGAGCTCACACTCAGCCTGCTGGTCAGGCCGCTGTCTCCCTGGAGGGTTTGAAGAGAAAAGCAAGTTCACTCCAGACAAACGGGCTCCAGGCTCACCCCAGGTTCACCTTTCACTCTCCACCAACAAACGGCAGCCAAGCACTCGCTCATCCTGATTTGTAAGCAACGTTAACGTGGACTTTATGACCTCGTCGTGCAGACTCCGCGTGCCACCCTCTCCGTCAGAGGTTGTACAGGCGAGTGGTGTTCTCCCGCAAGGCAGCCAAGGTGTGCGACAGCGACTCCTCTTTGACCCTGGCAATCTCACGCACCGTGTGCAGGGCCAGGCCCGGGTGGGCATACTGGCAAAGGCTTTTGGGGACCTGGAAGACATCAAATGTCCCCCACATGGCTATGCCTTCTGGACCCCGCCCTAACACTGAACTCCCTCCCTGTCCCTTCCCCAGAAGGACCTCTTTGGGGCTGCCCTGTAGAGACCCCTTTACCTGCACGTGCAGGGAGAGTCCCAGTCATGGGGGCTCTGGGTGAGCAGGGTCCCACGCTTCCGTGGACTGCCCTCTATGGGCTAGGGCTCTGCACTGCCTGGAAGAGAGTGTACCCTTCAGCTTCTCAGGCCCCCGACGTACGGTTCTGCAGAGCAACAAGGACACAGCTATGCAGCCCAAGTGGGGCCCGGAAGGCACTGGGGCTCTGGCCCTGACAACTTGCACGTACGGGTGATCACCCAGCTCCCTCCCGTCCTGCGTGCCTCCTCAGCCTGAGCACAGCCCTACCTGGCGTGGAAGGAAGTAGGGGGCATCGGTTTCCACGATGATTCTGTCCAGCGGGATCTGTCTCAGAGCTTCCCGGGCCTCCCAGGCGGAGGAGTAGGTCAGGACGGCCGTGAAGCCCACGGACATGTTGGGAAAGTGCTTCAAGAGGGGCTCAATGACCGGATAGCTGCCAGTGAAGCAGTGCCTGCGGAGAGAATACCCGGTCAGGGCTGGCGCTCAGAACCACTCAGCTAACTCCTCCTCTCCAGGGAGCCCCAGAGACGGACAGACAGCACAGGACACACAGACCAGAGCTGGCTCCAACCCAGCTCACCCCAGCACAGCCTGCAGGAGGTGGCTGCTCTCCCAGGGCAGGACCCTGGGCAGCCACTTGCAAGTCACCCCAAGCATAGCCAGCAGTCGTGCAGTGCCAGGGCAGGCTAGACCGGCAAAGAGGCAGAACTGCCAGCGGAGCCCCTCACGCAACGAGAAGAACCAGGAGGAAACACAGACGACAGCACTGGGGGCAGAGACCACTGAGGGCTTTGGGAACTCCAACACTGCTCAAGTCCACGGTGCAACACATGTGCTGTGAACCACTTGGGCAACTCAGGGTTTCCTCCAGCTGGGCTCCCAGCCCCGGTTCACCTGCCACCACTGCATTTCATTCAACCACACCCCAAACAGGCCAGCCCTGGCTGGGGATGCCCACATCTTCCAAAGTGCCGGCCCGAGTCCTGGCTGCTCTGCTTCCAATCCCTTTCCCTGCTAACACGTCTTGGCAGGCAGCAGGTGAGGGCTCAAGCATTTGGGTCCCTGCTACCCATCCAGAGATCTGGATGGAGTCTGGGTTCCTGTCTTCAGCTTGGTACAGCCTTCACTATTGCAGGCATTCATGGATAAACCAGCAAATGTAATATATGTGTGTGTGTGTGTGTGTGTGTGTATGCCACTCTTGCCTTCCAAGTAGATGAAAATAAATTGAAAACCATTTTTAAAAAATAAAGTCAGCCCATCCAGTTTTAAGTCAGGGCTGCTCCACTTCAAATCTAGCTCCCTGCTAACGTACTGCGAAAGCAGCGGAAGATGGCCCAAGTGCTTGGGCCACCCAGATAGTGTTCCTGGTTCCTGGCTTCAGCCTGGCCCAGCCCTAGACATTGCAGCCATTTGGGGAGTGAACCAGTAGATGGAAGATCTCTGTCTCTGTTACTTTGTCTTTAAAATTTTTAAATAAAACTCAGCACAAAACAGGTGAGTAAGCAATCAAACCAGCCACCCACCCCAAAGAGCCAAGTGACTGAGCCTCCTCACAGCATGGCCTCCACAGCAGGGGTCAAAGGCCCAACAGCCCCCCCCCCAAGTTTGGCTTCTGGACTCCCCGCTCTCCCAGCAGTCCTCAGCCATCTGAAAGGAGCCAGCTCGGAACCCCACCTCAGTCCCAGACTCCGTGCTCACAGCACCTGCCGACACACCTGTCTCCCAGCAGCTCCGCCTGGCCCGCCAGAGCCAAGCCACTGCCCACTCCCCACAGCAGAGGCAGCTCAGAGGGGGCTTCCACGCCAAGCTCAAGAACCCCCAGAGGCCACTGAGAGAAAGGCCAGCTGGACTTCAACACTAACTAGGAAGAAGCGGCTTTTTCGTGCAAAGATGCAAAGACAGGTTTTTTCAGGACAGGGTCTGAGTAGCCCCTCCAAGTCCACAAGCCTTCACTTGTGGCCAGAGACTCGTCAGCCAGCCACCCGCAGGGGCTGCAGAAGCAGGGTGTTAGCTGAACCCATGAAGCTGCCGTTCTGTAGGTCACACGCGGTCAGGCATCAGACAGCCCACGTGGTCAGCCTGATTCTCCTTTACAAACTGCACCAGGGTCACACGCGGTCAGGCATCAGACAGCCCACGTGGTCAGCCTGATTCTTCCTTTACAAACTGCACCAGGGTCACACACAGTCAGGCATCAGCCCACGTGCTCAGCCTGATTCTCCTTACAAACTGCACCAGCTGCCCCCCCACCCCCGAGCTTCCATCTCTCCCGTCCTGGACAGAGGGCAGAGTCCCTGCACTGCCCGCGGAGCTCCCTCCTGACCTATGAATCCTGTAGTCGGAGGGCACGAATCTCTTCATGACATCCAGCAGGTCCTCATCAGCTTCACGGCAGTGGATCACCAAGGGCTTCCTCAGGGCCACGGCCAGCTGTAGCTGCCTCTCAAACACCTGGGAGGAGACAAGGTGGCGACAACCAGCTGGTCAGTGGCACTTCTGTCCAGTGGACACCCCCACTGTCTCCAACTTGTTACCCTTTTTAATCATTTCTTAAGATTTATTTATTTATTTGAAAGGCAGTGGGGCCAGCCCTGCGATGTAGTAGGCTAAGCCTCTGCCTGCAGTGCCAGCATCCCATATAGGCATTGGTTCGTATCCCGGCTGCTCCTCTTCCAATCCAGCTCTCTGCTATGGCCTGGGAAAGCCGCAGAAGATGGCCCAAGTCCTTGGGCCCCTATACCCGTGTGGGAGATCCAGAAAAAGTTCCTAGCTTCGGATCAACCCAGTTCCAGCCATTGCAGCCATTTGGGAAGTGAACCAGCAGATGGAAGACCTCTCTTTCTGTCTCTCCCTCTCAGTCTGTAACTCTACTTCTCAAATAAATAAATACATCTTAAGAAGAAAAAAAAAAAAAAAAAAACAGGGCAGAGAGAGATAGAGACATAAAGACAGAAACACAAAGGGGTTTCCCATCCACTGGCTCTCTCCCCAAAAGCAGCCACAATTGCCAGGGATGGGCTAGGCTGAAGTCAGAAGTCCATCCAGGTCTCCCACATGAGTGGACCATCATTTTCGGCTTTCCCAAGCACATTAGTAGAGAGCTGGATCAGAAACAGAGCAGCCAGAAGTCAAACCAGCAAAAAGACATATGATGCCGGTGTCACAAGGGGTGGCTCAACCCACTGGGCAGCAAGGCCTATCCCTCCAATTCTTTACTTTTTTTTTTTTTTTTTTTTGACAGGCAGAGTGGACAGTGAGAGAGAGAGACAGAGAGAAAGATCTTCCTTTGCCATTGGTTCACCCTCCAATGGCCGCCACGGCCAGCGCGCTGCGGCCGGCACACCGCGCTGATCCGATGGCAGGAGCCAGGTGCTTCTCCTGGTCTCCCATGGGGTGCAGGGCCCAAACACTTGGGCCATCCTCCACTGCACTCCCTGGCCACAGCAGAGAGCTGGCCTGGAAGAGGGGCAACCGGGACAGAATCCGGCGCCCCAACCGGGGCTAGAACCCGGTGTGCCGGCACCGTAGGCGGAGGATTAGCCTAGTGAGCCGCGGTGCCGGCCCAATTCTTTACTTTTCAACAACATCAAGTAGGGTAATGGCTAGTGCTTACTGGCAATTCCTACAGAGCCAGGTGCATGTCAGGTGGGCACTGCAATCGGGCAGGGTCAGGCCTTGTGCAGTGAGGGCAGGTGATCTGCAGCTCACCAACCTGCAGCTCAGCAGATGCACAGCCAGGATTCAAATTTGAGCCCAGGCCGTCTACACAGGAACCCCATGCACTGCTTATCTGGAGACACAGGAGTGGGGATCAAGGTCAACGTCTGCACCTCTACTCCCCAGAGGTCCTGAAGCTCCAGACCTTTCTGTGTGTGTGTGAGTGTGCACACCCACCCCTCCAGCACGTGCCCGGCTCACAGTGGCTGCCGTCTTCAGTGAAATGCTCAATACCACGCTTGCTTTCTGAAACTCACTTTCTTTACTTGACCAAAACTGGTCAGCACCCCAGACACGCTCCACCCCTCTACCTCTAGTCCCTGCACTCTTCAGCAGTGAAGCACACACACTGTTCAAAGCAGGGCTGGAACCCGTTCCTTCCCCTGACAAGGCCGGGTTACAACCAAGGACAAAAGTATCAGTTCCTAAAAACAAGCAGCCCATCTTAACGTTTCCACAAGCAGTTATTCAACTGTGGAGTACAGGCCACGTTTGCGTTTTTAGCATCAGTGAGAGTCAGCTGCTGATCCCTTGAGACTGACAGTTGAGGGCAGAGGGCACCTGCTGTCTGCTCTGCACTGGCAGAGCTAAGTCACCACCAGTTCCATGCTTTCAACTACGGGCTGGAATCAGAGTCTGGACAGGGGCCGTGGCCGTGGCTGGCGACAACTGCTCACCTCTGCCCCCACTCAGGTAGGAGGCTCGAGCATCACAACCACGTCCTTCATTTCCTGTCTCTACAAAGTGTTCTTTAGAGGCGACAAGCCAACGACTGCAGCTTACACAGCTCTATTTTTGAAGCTATACAGCTAATGAAATTTTCATGGTTACAGATAACACTTCAATCTATCACTTTTTAAAACATAGGTGTTATTTAATTTTTATTCATCTAAGAGACTAAGAGCCCATCCCCTGGTTCACTCCCCACATGCCAGCAACAGTCAAGGCTGGGTTGACACCAGAAGCCTGGAGCTCCATCCAGGTCTCCCATGCAGGTGGCAGGAACCCCAGCACTTGACTCGTCATCACTGCTCCCAGGGGTTGTGTCAGCAGGAAGCTCCAGCAGGAGGGGACCGGGACTTGAGCCCAGGCACTCTGACAGGGAACGCAGACGAACCCACGAGCTTGTCAATGGCTGCACCGAGTGCATCGCCTTTCTCAATGTCCTAGCTTCTGTCTTAAGAAAGCAGGAAATACAACACACATGTCCTTGAATCTGCGACAAGCGAGTTACAAGACAAGCCACCAACTGCCCCAATTTTCTATGGTACGATAACATTAAATTTATTAATTCTGTAAAGCTCATTCCAATTTCAAAAACACCAGGATGGCAGACAAGCAGGAAGGAGAGCGAGCGGCCGAGCAGAGCCTCGTGCTTCACCCTCCCGGGAACCCAACGCCCAGCATAACCACCTGCTCTGCTCGCCTCACACGCCAGGTCCCAGCTGACGCACTGCTTTCAGGGATCCCAGAATTAACGAGTCTCGGCCTCTCTTGCTCATTTGTTATCTCAAAAATTAATTCCACACACAAGAGGGGCTGCGGGGGCATACGCAGGTCCTTCTCCCAGGTTCTGGAACCCAGAGAACAAGGGAATCTTACAATCACACCGACCGAGTGTGCAATCCACAGCAACTCTCCCAGACTAATCCTCCGGAGCTAAGCAGAGCTACAGTCACCTCTGTGAGCACGGAAAACCTTCACCCCCGTAAAGGTGGCTCCTTTTCCCCTGGCTTTGCTCTTCCCTTCTCCACTCCCCAGAATCCTAGGAGACTAGGTAACAAACACCCAGCTCTGCCTCCTAAGGAGGCATCTGTCCAGAACCAGCTCCCACAGGGACTTCTCTCCCTCCCTGCACGAAAGCACAGGGCAGGACGCGGCTGCAGCCTGCTCACACTCCACGCCCACCTGCTGGTCCCCACGCTCACCTTGCTCTGCATCTCAGACTTCCCAGGACACGGCACCCACTTCTGAACCACCCAGGAGCGGGGTCTGCAGGCACCCGTTTTAGTCCTCCCCTCACCAGCCATTTCTTTCCTGACTCTGTTCTCCAGCCTCGTGTCCCATCTCACCAAGGCCAACGATACCTGCTGTCACTTCAAGTCGCATGCAGGCCTAAGACTGAGAACGTAATCCAAGAAAGCATAACCCTGAAGCACTCAGCACCAAGGAGGCGCCACTGGAACAACACTCGAGTGTTTGCCTGAAAGTGGTTCCTCTCCCACACCACACCTGCCCGTGCCACAGAAACCACCTGGGACAGCAGATTTTGTGTCTCACTTTCCTAACAACCCACTTCCCACTGTGCTCAGATTTCTTCTCACGTCCAGCTAATCCATGACCACCTCAAGCCACACGTGTCCAACAGTGCCCAAGGGAAAGCAGCTGCCAAACCCAATCCAGGCAGCGCCTGCTCCCCTCCCCGGCCTAGAGCCTGCCGGGCCCGCTCACCCGCTCCTGGGACACGACACCCCGACAGCCAACTCTGCCCGGTAGGGGAGGGGTGCAGCCAGCCCTCCTTCTTGTCCCACTCCTTCCCAATCAGAATCTTCCACTGCCACCCTCAACTCTGCCAAAGAGCAACGCTCAAAACCCCCGAGAGCAAAACTATGACCACGGCAGCAGTCGTTATTTCTGGCGGCCCAGGAAATCGCGCGCTTCCTCACACACGCCTCTGTGTTCCCAAATGCACAAAGAGCCGCCTTACCTTGTGCTGCTCCGGGACAGGCGTCGTGCACTTGTAGGAGTAGTCCAAGCCCATCTCCCCAAAGGCCACGGCCTTGGGGTGCCGCAGGGCATGCAGGAGGTTCCTCTCCTGACTCTCACTGTAGTAGCGTGCAAAATGAGGATGGCAGCCGAAGGCCCCCCAGACCAGGTCCTCCTTCAGCAGCTCCTCCCACAGGCGGTCTGTCAGCGTCCGCGGGTCACAGAAGTCAGAGATGCAGCCCCGGAACTCCTTGGGGAAGGAGCTGCTGTACATCTTTCTGAACTTGGTGAAGGTCCCCCTGAAGGACAGCTTGGAGTAGAGCATGTCCAAGTGACAGTGGGTGTCGATGAAGCCCTCCTCCGTGCTGGCCTCCCGGCAGCTCCTGGGCACAGAGCCAGACGCGCACCCTCGGCCAGGGCGCGGAGGCGGCGTCTCCTCTCGGAACGTTCTCTTCTCCTTCACTTCCCTGTGTGAGTTCCTGGAGAACCGGAACGCGCGGGAATTCTGGGACCGGCCTTCCTCCGTGGCGTCTGGGGCCCTGGCGGTGGTGCGGGAGCGGACCGGAGAGCTGGGCGAACAGTCGCTCAGGTGGCTCTGGCCGCTCCTCCCAGACTGGGCCGGGTCACTGCTGCTGCTGCTGCTGCCCGCGGCAGAACAGCCAGGAGGCTTGGGGCTGCTGGTCCAGTAGCGGGCGTAGTCACACCAAGGGCTACTGTACAAATGAGCTGGGTACATGACATAGTCGGTGGCGTAGGAAGACGGCTCCGGAGCCGCTGAGTCCTTCAGTGCCACAGGCTCCTCCTGAGAGAATCTGACCGTGGGGATCTCATCCACATCTGACCAGTCGCTTCCTGAAGAGGGGTGCTCCATCACCACCTCCCTACCTTTGCGCTGCAGAGGGAAACAAGAGCACCACGTCAGCCTTGCCATGTCCAGCCAGTGGCCGTCCTCGGCCGGTTCCCTGCAGCGGCCAGCTTTGCACAGGCTCCTCTGCTCAGCTTCTCACCTGATCTCACAATTCCCAGAAATGCGCTGAGGCGAGCCAGTCACGGTGCAGGTCAGAGCTGTGAGCGGTCAGCAGGCTCAGGGAACGCCTCACTGAACAGACACCACACCTGCTCAGCCTCTAGGAAAACTCGCTCCCACAGCAGCACCCAGCCCCTCCTTTCTGACAGTCAACATGCAAAACCCTACAGCTGGGAACGTTTCCAAATGTGTCCCCAAATTATCTGACACCACTCTCCATTGAGAAAGCAAGTCGACAAGCCCTCGCCTCGAGTCTGGGCCATGGAGTGACTCCCCTGTAACAAGGCAGCGGCGCACACAGAGCTGCTTAGGTTCGGAGGCTAGGTCACAACAGTCTGGTAGGCTTCCCCTCGCTCCTGAAGCCTGCTCACTAGGGGGGAGGCAGGCACCCTCGGAGCACCTTGCTAGCGAGGTGAGGTGTAGGTGCATGGTCTGCCACCTGCCAGCTCCAGGGGACAGCAGTGTAAGCTGGCCACTCTGAGCAAACTCCATGGTTACCCAGGCTGGAGCTATCCAGTTGACCCCAGTCCTGGCCACCATCTGAACAGAAGCACATGAGACCCTCAAGCAAGACCTGCCCAGTTTGAACCTTTCTGAATCCCTGCTGACAAACCACGGATGCAAAATCCAAGTCCTTAAGCTACCAGCCAGCAGCAGTAACTGAACACTCACAGCACGCACTAGGAAACCAACTCAGTGCTGCTGGAACATACGCCCCACAGATCTTCACCACTGTCTCCCAAACACCCAGAACCGTGCGCGGCACACAGCGCTCACACAGCTGCTGAGTTCATGCAAACACAGTGCTACGACTGCCAAACACCCTTCACAGCATTGCCACCTACAGCACCGTGTTTTACAGATTTTTTTCAAAGATGTATTTATTTATTAGAAAGTCAGAGTTACACACATAGAGAAGACACAGAGAGAGAGAGGTCTTCCGTCCACTGGTTCACTCCCCAGATGGCTGCAACGGATAGAACTGCGCTGATCTGAAGCCAGGAGCTTCTTCAGGGTCTCCCACACAGGTTCAGGGGCCCAAGGACTTGGGCCATCTTCTACTGCTTTCCCAGGCCACAGCAGAGAGCTGGATCAGAAGTGGAGCAGCAGGGACCAGAACTGGCCACAGTGTCGGCCCCCCGTGTTTTACAGATTTATCCCACCCCCTGGGAATCAGCAGAACCAGAGAACCCGTACTTAATTCCTTACATAAAATTTAGGTAAAGTCATGAAAAACGCACACTATGAAAGGCTGAGTTACACAGAGAAGGGGAGAAAGAGATCTTCGATCTGCTGGTTCACTCCCCACTGAACTCCCTCCAACAGCCAGGAACTCCATCCAGGTCTCCTGTATCACGGGCAGGGGCCCAAGGACTTGGGCCCTCACTGGCTGCTTTGCCAGGCACTTTCGCAAGGATGGGTCTTGGAAGCAGAACAGCCAAGGACTGGAACTGGCCCTCACGTGGGATGCAGTATTGCAGCTGGCAGCTTAGCCCACTGCCACAGTGTCGCTCCCCAAAACAAATTCTGAACTCCATTTTTCCACAAACTCTCTGAAGTGCATGATTTTTGTTTTTTTAATTTTTTTTTTAATTTTTTTTTTTTGAAAGGCAGAGTGGACAGTGAGAGAGAGAGAGAGAAAGGTCTTCCTTTGCCGTTGGTTCACCCTCCAATGGCTGCCGCGGCCGGCGCACTGCGGCCGGCACACCGCGCCGATCCGATGGCAGGAGCCAGGTACTTATCCTGGTCTCCCATGGGGTGCAGGGCCCAAGCACTTGGGCCATCCTCCACTGCACTCCCGGGCCACAGCAGAGAGCTGGCCTGGAAGAGGGGCAACCGGGACAGAATCCGGTGCCCCGACCGGGACTAGAACCCGGTGTGCCGGCGCCGCAAGGCGGAGGATTAGCCTAGTGAGCCGCGGCGCTGGCCCTGAAGTGCATGATTTATAATGACCAAAAATACCCAAACTCAAGGTAGGATTTCCCCCCCCAAAATAAGCCCTCAGTATAGCACAGGTGGTAACAGTGATGGCTAACAACTGAGGACTTCCGGTGGTCAGCAAACAGGATGGGGGATGCCTCCAGTACCCAAGAACACGCCCACTGCCCTGAGCAAGCATGACACCACGCTGTACCCCACAAACATCAAATTACTTATAATTATAAAAGATCATTAATGTATTTTACATTACATGATGTATTTATAATCTAATTTTTATACTAATTATACAATCTACAATTTTTTTGAATTATCCCCTCAGAGGAGATGGCATCACTCTATACAGGTAAGCACACCTTATCCAAAATACCTGGGACAAATGTCTTGGATTCCAGGTTTTCACACTGGAATATTAGCACGATTTGATCAGCTGAGCATCCCTAACTCAAAATGCTCCAGAATCCCAAACACACGCTCATCGTGGCACTCTTCAAATGCTTCAGCCAGGGCCGGCGCTGCGGCGTAGCAGGTAACGCCGCTGCCTGCGGTGCCAGCACCCAATATGGCACCGGTTCCAGTCCCGGCTGCTCCACTTCCAATCCAGCTCTCTGCTATGGCCTGGGAAAGCAGTAGAAGATGGTCTAAGTCCTGGGGCCCTGCACCCGTGTGGGAGACCCAGAAGCAGCTCCTGGCTTCAGACTGGCTCAACTCGAGCCATTGCAGCCAACTGGAGAGTGAACCAGTGGAGGTAAGAGCTCTCTCGCTTGCTCTCGGCCTCTCCTTCTCTCTCCGTGTAACTCTGACTTTCAAGTATATAAATAAATATTGTTTAATAATTAAAAAAATGGTTCAGGTTTTAGAACTTTTTAATTTTGATTTTACATGAGGGATGCTTAGTCTGTATTCAAGTCCTTGTCTTCCTCCTACAGCTGTCTTCAGTTTAAGGGAGACAAATGACCCCAAACAGACCTCAGTCAAGCCAACCTCTTACAGGTTTCCTAAATTCATTTTTTAAAAAAAAGGAGGGCTGGGGGCATGGGGAAGGGGTGGCTGCTGCCTGGGACACCCACTTCCCACATCAAAGTGCTGGGGTACTGGTCTGAGTCCCAGCTGCTCTGCTTCTGTCCAGCTCCCTGCTATCGCATCTTGGGAGTAAGCAGAAGATGGTCCAAGTGCTCGGGCCCCTGAGGGAGAACAGGAAGGGGTTCCCGGCTTCTGGCCCAGGCCTGCCTGCTGCAACCCTCTGGGGAGTGAACCAACAGATGCAGGTGATCAAATCCCTCCATCTCTCTCCGTTGCTCTGCCTCTCAGATAAATATATCTGTAAAAAACAAAGGGGAGGGGGCAAAGAAAAGTGACAGAAACAGACTGATCTTTACTCCTGCGGATACAGTCTGATAGTTCTAAGTGTTGGTTTTTATCTATGCTGCTTCACAATTTAGAGCAATGTTTATTTTTCCCCCTCAATATTTATTTTAACTGACTTGAAAGGCAAAGCAAGACTGAGAGAGAGAAAGAGCAAGAGACCTCTTCATTCCACTGGTTCACTCCCTAAATGCCCACAACAGCTGTGGCTAAGCCAGGAACCCAGAACTCCATCCTGGTCTCCCACGTACTCAGACAACCTTCCACTGCCTTCCAAGGAAGCAGGAAGCTGGATCAGAAGTCAAACAGGCCGGCGCCGTGGCTCACTAGGCTAATCCTCCGCCTTGCGGCGCCGGCACACTGGGTTCTAGTCCCGGTCGGGGCACCGAATTCTGTCCTGGTTGCTCCTCTTCCAGGCCAGCTCTCTGCTGTGGCCCGGGAAGGCGGTGGAGGATGGCCCAAGTGCTTGGACCCTGCACCCCATGGGAGACCAGGAGAAGCAGCTGGCTCCTGCCATCAGATCAGCGTGGTGCGCCGGCAGCAGTGCGCCGGCCGCGGCAGCCATTGGAGGGTGAACCAACGGCAAAAGGAAGACCTTTCTCTCTGTCTCTCTCTCTGCCTGTCAAAAAAATTAAAAAAAAAAAAAAAGAAGAAGAAGAAGAAGTCAAACAGTGGGGCCAGTGCTGTGGTGTAGCGGGTTAAAGCCCTGGCCTGAAGCGCCGGCATCCCATATGGGCGCCGGTTCTAGTCCTGGCTGCTCCTCTTCCAATCCAGCTCTCTGCTATGGCCTGGGGAAGCAGTGGAGGATGACCCAAGTCCTTGGGCCCCTGCACCCACATGGGAGACCTGGAAGAAGCTCCTTGCTCCTGGCTTTGGATGAGTGCAGCTCTGGCCATTGTGGCCATTGGGGAGTGAACCAGCAGATGGAAGACCTCTCTCTGTGTGTCTACCTCACTCTGTAACTCTTTCAAATATATAAAATAAATCTTTACAAAAAAAAAAAAAAAAGTCAAACAGCTGGGACTGAAACCAGCACTCCATGGGAACTTAACCCACTATATACCACGTGGACCTGCCACCCAGCAAATTTTTTCAACACCACTTTTGTTTCTGCATTTTAAGATCACTTTTTTTTTTAAAGATTTATTTATGGTCGGCGCCACGGCTCACTTAGCTAATCCTCCACCTGCGGCACCGGCACCCAGGTTCTAGTCCTGGTCAGGGCGCCGGATTCTGTCCTGGGTGCTCCTCTTACAGTCCAGCTCTCTGCTGTGGCCCGGGAAGGCAATGGAGGATGGCCCGAGTGCTTGGGCCCCTGCACCTGCATGGGAGACCAGAAGGAAGCTCCTGGCTCCTGGTTTCGGATCGGCACAGCGCGCCGGCCACAGCAACCATTTGGGGGGTAAACCAAAGGAAAGACGACCTTTCTCTCTGTCTCTCTCTCTCTCACTGTCTAACTCTGCCTGTCAAAAAAAAAAAAAAAAAAAAAAAAAAAGATTCATTTATTTGAAAGACAGAATTACAGAGAGAGGTAGAGACAGAGAGAGGTATTCCATCTGCTGGCTCACTCCTCAGATGGCCACAACGGCTGGAGCTGTGCCAATCTGAAGCCAGGAGCTTCTTCCGGTCTCCCACAGGGTGCAGGGGCCCAAGGACCTGGGCGATCTTCTACTGCTTTCCCAGGCCATAGCAGAGAGCTGGATTGGAAGTGGAACAGCTGGAACTCGAACCGGCTCCCATATGGGATGCTGGCCCTGCCCTATATTGTTTTTAAAAGTGATCTTAAAGGGCTGGTGCTGTGGCACAGTGGGTTAAAGCCCTCACCCAGAGGAGGAAGGGGCAAACAGGGTTTAGCAAGCTGTTTTTCACTAAATGGCTCTCATTTTTAAACCACAGGAAATATTTACTCAAAAGTAACCTAAAAAATACTTGGAGGTGGGGCCAGAGCTGTGGCACAGCACGTAAACTGTGGTGTTCTCTTTTCAAGATGCTGTGTATTTTACATTTTAGGATAAAATTTATTTTCATAATAACACAATATTTATTGAGTCTTTATTACATATACACATTTTGCAATTTCCTTTTTCAACTTTTAAAAATTTATATAAAGGGAATATATTTCACATATACAGTTTTAAGAGCCTAACGACACTTCCCACCCTACCCTCCCTCGTCCTTTTGTTCTACTTATTTGACAGGCAGAGTTGCAGAGACACAGATCTTCCATCCCTTGGTTCACTCCTCAGCGGCTGCAACAGCCAGGGCTGGGCCGGGAGCCTGAAGTCCACCAGCACTGCCCCGGCTCCACCGCCTTCCCTGGCACACCAGAGGCGAGCTGGATCAGAAGCAGCAGCAGCGACTGGAACAGCTCATATGGAAGCCAGCACAGCAGGCAGCAGCTTAACCTGTTGTGCCTAAACACCAGACCCAAAACTGTTTCAGGAACAGACACTGAAACAGTTATGGAGAAAAGGTACTAGGATTTCTTTGAAAGTAACGCCCACAGAGAGAGAAGGAACACAGAGACAAAACAAGACGAGGGCACTCATTCCGAGCAGGCCGCCCTTTCTCACGTCCTCACAAGCACTGCAAGTAGTTAGCTGGTGAAGATTAGTGACAGACCAACGAGTGTATTTCGTAAATGTTTTAGATTTTTTTTCCTAAATAAAAGTTAAAATAAAAAGAGTTGTAAGTGAATTGCAAGTCAGATGGAAGACCAAACGAGAGCCTCTGAACCCCTAGCACTCAGAGGCATTTGTTAAAAAATACCATTTCCCAGGCCTCATCTGCGATTCTCACCGAAGAGGGTCAGGACATCATCTAAAGTAACCCCCGTGAGGCAGGCGTGGCGGTGGAGCGCACATCCCACACCAGAGTGCCAGCCCCAGTCCCCGCCACTCCTCTTCCAGTCCAGCTTCTTGCTAATGCAATGGAAGGCAGAAGACGATGGCCCACGTACGTGGGTCCTTGCCACCCATATAGGAGACCAGGATGCAGTCCCTCACTCCCAACTTTAGCCTGAACCAGACCTCACCGCCGGGCCATCTGGCAAATGAACCAAGGATAGAAGCTCTCTGCCTTCCCCTCTCCGTTGCTCTACCTTTCAAACAAAACAAACTTTTTTTTTAAATGTACACGGAACTAGAAATACAAACTATTAACAAATCTGTAACAGAGTCTTCTGAATCCCTGTCAAGTGGTTCAACAAGCAAGACTGCCCTGACATCAATCCCATACGGCAGAACTCAGTGACATTCATCTAGAGCTGGCTGCGCTGGGCACGGAGCCAGTGTTCTCACGTCAGGTACAGGATGTGGCAACTGCACTGCCTGTTGGTATCAACGCGCCATTTACAGAAAATTCCACTGACCCCGGATCCGTATTTCTTAACCGTGGCAACATCAGGAAAACTTGCTTTTTGTACAGATGAAGAAACACGGACTTGAGGTAAGGTGGCTTTCCCCAGATCACAACTCAGAGGCAGCCCCAGTACCTGAGCCCAGAGGGTCTGATTCCAGCATTCACGTGCTTACCTACTGCCTCCCAATCCGCACCTGACACAGACAACCCATGTGTCTGCTCTGACAAACAAGGGTCGTGTATAAATCTGGAAAAGTTCGTGGAATTCGAGGTCCCAAACAGGACGAAGATCTACATCCAACAGCCTACACAGCTGCTCTGTGTTCAGTGGGACAATTAAGGTACCAAACCCATTGGACATGGGAGGGATTTCCATTTAGATAGGGACACGTGGTTCTTGTCCTTTCCACCCACTCTTTGAAATGAAAAGAAGTCGGTTTGAAAAGGCGTAAACCAATAAAGGGAAAGCACACAGAATGAAGGGCAGAGCAAACCCCATACAAACGGGATTCCAGAAGGAAATGGACAAAGTGTAATCAGCTCAGATCAGACAGCCAAACCCTAAGCAGCAGTGAGAAAAGCCCAGAAAGAGATCATGACCCCAGAAAGCTGCGGAAAGGGCCCTCTCAGCCTCTCACAAGGAAAACGGGAACGCAGCTCCCACCCCGGCGGATGATGGGTCTGCCCTCCCCCGACTCAAGCCAAGGGCTCATGCCGAGAGAAGCTGAACCAAGGGGACAGAAGCTGAACCAAGAGGCATCACAGGCTGACGGTGGGCGCCGACCCTCCCTCACCCTCACTCCAGGACACCAGTGTTTCCTCCTCCCGGGAACCAAGCAGCTCCAGGACAGCGGCAGGTCCACCTGGGGACCCTCACAGCCACCTGACACTTCAGTGCTCCACGTCTGAGCACAGAGAGCCAAGGCAGGCGAGGGAAGCCCCACCCTCCAAGACAGCAAACACAAGAAAAAGGTGAAAACAAACCTGTAACTAATATTCTCAGAGACCAAAGAACGCCAGCCTCCCCACTCTAGGATCCGAGAACAGAACACATACTCACAAAGCCAGTGTTCTTAGAACCAGTGTGTCAAAAGGAACAGCCCAGCAGGCACCACCCTTACGCCACCTGCACACTTCCTAGGGAGAGACGAAACAAGAAAAGCAACCCCAAAGAGACAAGTAACCAAACACAGAAACGAGGACAAAACCCCCCATCACCACTCACATCCTCCAAGAGCAAAACCAAGCAATGACAACAACGAAAGAGGCTCCTCTAACAAACTGGCAGGAAAGCACTGGGAGAATAGTTTTAGCAGGACCAACACTCAGCCTAATACCTTTCCTCCTCTCTAACTCTGTCCTTCAAATAGATAAAAAATAAGTCTTTAAAAAAGAGATTTCTTTCTTTCTTTCTTTCTTTGAGAGAGAAAGACACAGATTTCCTACCGTCTGGTTCACTCCCCAAACGCCTTCAACAGACAAGGATAGGCAAGACCGAAGCCAGGAGCCTGAACTCCACCCAGGCCTCCACATGGGGGCAGCGACCCAAGCACTCCGGCCATCTTTCACATTATCAGGGAGTGGACTGGATGCAGAGGCGCTCGAACCGGGGCTGGTGCGCACGGAATGCTGGCGTCACAGGCAGCAGCTTAACCCACTGCACAACGCCAGCCCCTTACTTCCATCTGTGATACAACAGCTAAACCCAGATCTCAACAACACATAAAGCCAATAAATAAATCAAGGTAGTGCTGTACTGAGGTGGAAGCTATGTCGTAGGAGACCCCTCCCTCTTGTTCCTGGAGACCCGGTTAAGGCAAGCACTGCTTTTAATGAGTAACAAGATCAGGCTGGTCTGCGCATCACTCACCTTGTGGATGTCAACGTGGGAGTCAGAGTCATCCCAGAACTCCAGGGGCCCAGGAGGCTCGTCCATGGCCGCCCTTCGGTCACCAAGCGGCTCCCTGCCGGGTGACCCTGCAGGGTCGATGACCACTCTGCGGCCACAGAAGCTGCTCCCCTCCTGCACCAGCTCCTCCTGCTCCGCAGCGGACTCTGCCTCCTTCTGAGGGGTGGGGACCGCGGCGCTCCTGGCCAGTCCTTCTCCCTGGCTGGGACGCTCCCCTGGGCTTGACTTTGCCCGAGGAGCAGCCTCTCCCCTCCGCTTCGGCATCGATCTCCCCAGGATGCCCTGGAGAGCCTTCAGATAGATCACAGTGGAGCCCTGGTCGCGAAGCCTCTCCCGCCGCCTCCTCTGAACCCTGTGTGGCTCCTCAGTCGCTTCATTCTGGCCCTCAGCCTCAGCTGCAAGCTCAGAGTTCGTGGAGTCTCGAGAACTGGCTTTGGAATCATCCTGAAAGAGAAGGCAGACGTGGAAGGAGCTGTCTGTCCCGAGGGCAATCCCATAAATCATGGTAGTTCCCCGAGTCCAAGGCAGCACAGCGACGTGGCTGCAGCCCACCCCAGCCCACCCCAGCCCGCCCCACGGAGCGCCCTGTGAAAGGAGCCATGTGCCGCCGTCTCTTCACCTCCCCGCGGTGGTCCGATGACAGCCTCTCCCTCATGGGGAGTGATGAGCTGAGACCGACCGTCCCTGACATTAGCTAGCTTGCTCTGGAAGGCGAGCACTCCAAATACGCCCCCAAAGGGTTCCTACAAACCAGCCAGTCAATCCAAAATCAAAGGACCCAGAGAGAGGAAGGGCTGGCCCACAGCTGCAAGCCCAGGAGTCCTGAGTGACCCTCTCCCTCACGTCCCAAGCCTCCAAGCTTCCCAGACGCCTCCAGCCAAGGCAGGACGTTGCCTCTGTCTCCCAAAGACCACTCCAGGGTCAGGCAGGAGGCTCTCTCCTCCCCCAACCTCCTCAGAGACAGAGCAGACGCCTGGTTCCATTCTTTTCCCTCTCACACCTCTCACTGAAGGAGGCCACAGGGAAAACGCTAGACCAACTGTAACTCAGACCTCAGGCTCATGGAGAACACAAGTGTCCCCGGGAATCAGAGCAGAGCCCTGGGCCTCCCCTGCACTGACCCAGCCCCACCCTGCCGCAAGGCATTCTACAGCCCTGGCACGCAGCCCTTCAACTCCTCTCACAAGTAGACTCAGGGCTGGGCTGCCTGCTGACGCGCTGGGAAGGCTGCGGACGATGGCCCAAATACTCGGCCCCTGCCACCCAAATGGGAGACTCGAAAGCCATTCCAGGCTCCTGGCTTCAGCCTGGCCCAGTCTCAGGTGTTGTGCCATTTGTAGAGTGAACCAGCAGATGGAACACCTCACGTAATCTGTTACTCTGCCTTTCGAATAAATATTAAAAAAAAAAAAAAAAGAAAGAAAGAAATACACTGAGGAGAAAGACCTCCACACCAAGTGTCCCAATCCTGCCCTCTACCAAAGCAAAGCAGGCCCCACCCCCAGCCGTGGCCATCCCCTGCCCCCACACAGCGAGCCCGCCCTCGTGTGCCCGAGAACAGAACGCTTTCCACGTGTGGAAGTGCACGGTAAGGAAAGATAAGCCTTCCACAGCGGCTATCTCTGGGGAGCGGGAGGAGGGGCTGCCACTCTCCCCGCTTCCTGCACCTTCTGAGGTTCGTTTCCCCACAGGAAGCATGCAACATCCTTGCTGCCAAAAAGATCTCAAGACCTTCGGAACACGGCAACACGGTGCCGGCGTGGCCCGTCAGTACGTACGTACGTCACTCAGGCTTGCCTGTCCTGAACTACTCCAACTGTTGGCAGCAAGGGAGATGGACAAAAAAGGAGGCTTTGATTTCCATGTGGAACTTCTCCAAACTTGCGTGGTCTCTAGTTTTCCGAACTTTCTAACGTACGTCTAAAGGGACTACCTGAGAGAAGGGGTTGCAGGTCGTTTTTATTTTTAAATTAGCTAATGAATTTGAAAGGCAGAATGACAGACAAGAGGAGACACAGACAGACAGGAATCTCCTGTCCACTGGTTCATTCCCCAAAAAGGCAAGCAACAGTCAGGTGAAGCCAGCAACTCTGAGGCCCCCGTGCAGGTGGCAGGCGCTCGAGCACCGGCCCATTATCTGCAGCCTCCCAGGTGCATCAGCAGGAAGCGGGATGGGAAACACAGGACCAGGCTCTCCAGCGTGGGATGCAGGCCTCCCAAGGTGCAGCTTGGTCTGCTGCCTCACAACGCTTGCCCCAATTTTCCTTTCTTTATACCTTTGTAATTTATGAAAATTGAATAAACATTCAAAATAAACCTGACAGGCCTGGGCCTGCTGTCAAAGACACAGCCCCACTTGCCAGCCCACTTCTCCAACACCTGCTTCCCTCCACAAGCAGTAAGCACCTGCCCAGCTGGGCACGTCCCCTGCTCTTACACGCTGTGTCACATCTCACTTCCTCAGACCAGGTTCTGCTTGATAAACTCCTCTCCAGCCTACAAAGCCGTATCTTCCTCCTCTGACTGCTCCTCCACCTCCGCCCCTTATCCTCGTCCCCCACAGCAGCTATCACACAACACGGCAAGGTGAGGCCCACAGCATATGCCTCCTGGAAGGCCACTGCTCCTCATCCCCAGCCAAGAAGTGCCACCTCAGAGTACCGGACCCAAGTCACAGAGCCCACTTTCTTCAAATAAAACCAGAAATCTTGGAGCCGCAGCTGCAGCGTAGAGGGTAAAGCTGCCGCCCGCAGTGCCAGCATCCCATATAGGTGCTGGTTCGAGTCCCAGCTGCTCCACTTCTGATCCAGCTCTCCACTATGGCCTGGGAAAGCAGTAGGAGATGGTCCAAGTGATTGGGCCCCTGCATCCACATGGGAGATCCGAAAGAAGCTCCTGGCTTCAGATCGGCTCAGCACCACCCGTTTGCAGCCATCTGGGGAGTCAATCAGTGGATGGAAGACCACTCTCTCTGCCTCTTTGTAACTCTGCCTTTCAAATAAATAATTAAAAAAAAAAAAAAAAAAACAGAAATCTCGAATTTAAAACACTTTTTATCTGTTCTACGAGTGCTGTCCAGGCACCTGCTGCATGCCAGCCAGCAGTGTTCTGGTCCGGGTCCTAGCTGCTAACAAAGAAGGCCTTTCTCGGGGCTCCTGGTCTAGTCGGGGAGGGAAGGGAAAGCTGGAGGAGGGGTCGCACAGGACAGCGAACACAGCTGCACTGGTTAGGGAGCACCGAGTCCCAAGGAGAGAAAGAACAAAGGCGGAGAGGAAGTGGACAGGGGGTGGTGCCACCTGCCTTGAGTTCAGGCAGCATTTTGGGCTGGAGTCACGAATTCTGCCTGTGAATTCTCTGTGAACGCTGAACGCTGTGAAGGCCTGGCAGCCTACGCTGTGTCCGCCTTGGCTGTGAAGACCAGGACCACACAGTAGGTGGAGAAAAGTCAGGAATGGAATAATCCACCCAACACGTCCTGCGGCTTCACCGAAAGAGGAACTGCAGGGCCGGCGCCGCGGCTCACTAGGCTAATCCTCCGCCTTGCGGCGCCCGGCACACCGGGTTCTAGTCCCGGTTGGGGCGCCGGATTCTGTCCCGGTTGCCCCTCTTCCAGGCCAGCTCTCTGCTGTGGCCCGGGAGTGCAGTGGAGGATGGCCCAGGTGCTTGGGCCCTGCACCCCATGGGAGACCAGGAAAAGCACCTGGCTCCTGGCTCCTGCCATCGGATCAGCGCGGTGCGCCGGCCGCAGCGCGCCGGCCGCGGCGGCCATTGGAGGGTGAACCAACGGCAAAGGAAGACCTTTCTCTCTGTCTCTCTCTCTCACTGTCCACTCTGCCTGTCAAAAAAAAAAAGAGGAACTGCCACAGGGTCTGTCCGCGGCAGAACCAGGACTCAGACTCAGACTCTCCCTGACATCCCGGAAACCAAGGGGGCAGAGCACCCAACAGACACTGCCAAAGGCTGCAGAGGTCCAGGGCCGTGAGGACCAGCACAGGTCACCGAAGCAGAGTGTCGCTGACAGGAGGCTGCACGAGCACTGGGTGACGCGGGCAAAGCGCCAAGAAGGGAAGCACCACCCACCTCCAAAAAAGGCGCTTCTGTGTCCACCGCAGCCCTGCTCAGGAGCTGTGCACCTCTGCAGGCAGGGGTGAACACCCAGCAGAGCTGTCACTCCAGCCTGCAGCAAGCCAACAGGTCCTGACCAGCTCCCTGCCTTCTCCCTCCTTCCCCTCTCCACAGAGCACCAGAGGCAGTCAGAAATGCAAATCCTGGGAGCTGGCTCTGTGCCAGAGGGTTAAGGCCCTGGCCTGAAGCAGCGGCATCCATGTGGACACAGGTTCTACTCCCTGCTGCTCCACTTCCGATCCAGCTCTCTGCTATGGCCTGGGAAAGCAAAACATGGCCCAAGTCCTTGGGCCCCTGCACCCACGTGGGAGACCGGAAAGAGGCTCCCAGCTCCTGGCTTCAAATCGGCACAGCTCTGGCTGCTGCGGCTAGTTGGAGAGTGAACCAGTGGATGGAAGACCCCTCTCTCTCTACCTCTCCTCTCTCTGTTTTACTCTTTCAAATAAAAATACATAAATCTTTTTTATTTTTTTTTATTTTTTATTTTTTGGCAGGCAGAGTGGACAGTGAGAGAGACAGAGAGAAAGGTCTTCCTTTGCCGTGCTGCGGCCGGCGCACCGTGCTGATCCGATGGCAGGAGCCAGGAGCCAGGTGCTTATCCTGGTCTCCCATGGGGTGCAGGGCCCAAGCACCTGGGCCATCCTCCACTGCACTCTCTGGCCACAGCAGAGGGCTGGCCTGGAAGAGGGGCAACCGGGACAGAATCCGGCGCCCCGACCGGGACTAGAACCCGGTGTGCTGGCGCCGCTAGGCGGAGGATTAGCCTAGTGAGCCGCGGCGCCGGCAATACATAAATCTTAAAATGCAAATCCTGGGCTGGCATTGAGACACCTTGGGACACTGCATCCCTGGGAAGCCTGCATCCCCTCTCAGAGTCCCAGCTTCCGTTTCCAGCCTCCTGCTCATCTGCACCCTGGGAGGCAGCAGGAAATGGCTCAAGTACTGGGGTCCTTGCCCCCACGTGGCAGCCGTGGATGGAGTTCCTGGCTCCTGGCTTCGGCCTGGTCCAACCCTGGGCTTTGCAGGCATTTGGGGGTGAACCAGCAGATGGAAGATTTCTCTCTTGCTCTGCCTTTCAAGTAGATGGAAGATAAACATTTTTCAAAAGGTGAGTAGTATACTCATTTTTATTTTGAGAGAGACACAGCTGTCTCCACTGGCTCTAACCCTCAGATGCTTATCAAACTGGGAAAAACAGAGCCCCTTTGGCTTTCATGAGAGAAAGCTGGGTCAATCCTAAGTTTAGCCCCACCCAGATTCCAGGCCACACCCTCAAGTCTGCAGCCCATTTGCAGAACAGCCTGAGCTAAGCACCTAAGCAAACCGCCTGCTCCTCCAAGCTTCCCTGTCCCTAACAGTCACTGAAGTTACCTTAGGAGCTACCCAAGTCCTCTGACACCTTATCACAAAAGCCTGATGACAAAATTAAGCAGGAGGCCAGTGCTGTGGCATAGCAGGTAAAGCTGCCGCCTGCAGTGCAGGCATCCCATATGGGTGCTGGTTCGGGTCCCAGCTGCTCCACCTCCAATCCAGCTCTCTGCTGTGGCCTGGGAAAGCAGAAGATGGCCCAAGCCCTTGGGCCCCTGCACCCGCGTGGGACACCTGGAAGAAGCTCCTGGCTTCTGGCTCCTGCCTTCGGATCAACACAGCTCTGGCTGTTGCAGCCAATCGGGGAGTGCACCAGCAGATAAACCTCTCTCTCTCTGCCTCTTCTCTGTGTAACTCTTTCAAATAAATAATCTTTAAAAAAAAAAAAAAAAAAAGATTAAACAGCATGTGGGGACGGCACTGTAGTACAGTAGTTTAAGCCTCCATCTGCAGCACCGGCATCCCATATGAGCACCAGTTCTAGTGCCTGCTGCTCCTCTTCTGATCCAGCTCTGCTAACTGCCTGGGAAAGCAGTGGAAGATGCCCCAAGTGCTTGGGCTCCTGCACACACCTCAGAGTCCCAGAAGAAGCTCCTGGCTCTTGGCTTCAGATTAGCCCAGTTCTGGCCATTGTGGCCATTTGGGGAGTGAACCAGCAGATGGAAGACCTCTCTCTCTCTCTCTCTCCCTCTCTCTGTACCTCTGCCTCTCAAATGAATAAATAAATCTTTTTAAAAAATTAAATAGTTTCAAAGTTCCATATTTAACTGACCCCCATGTTAAAATTATTTTTATTCCATTTGCCAGTTCACTCCCCAGATGCCCCCAAAAGCCTGGCTGGAAACTCAGTCTGGATCTCCCTCCTGGGCGGCAGGAGTCCAAGTCCTTCCGTCCTCATCTGCTGCCTCTCGGGCACATGAGCAGGAAGTCAGAATCAGGAAGAAGCCAGGCACTGGGTCCTAAGCTCTCCCATACAGGGTGCGGGTATCCCAAGCAGCATCTTAACCCAAGTGCCCAAGGCCTGCCCTTATTCAGCACTCTTACGCCAAGAAAAGGACTATCAACTCACCATCCGGGGGGTGGGAATCAGTACTGGGGACCAACGCTGTGGCGCAGCGGGTGAAGGCGCAGCCTGCAATGCCAGCATCCCGTATGGTGCCAGTTTGTACCTCAGCTGCTCCACTTCCAATCCAGGCCCCTGCCAACGGCCTGGGGAAAAGCATCGGAAGGTGGCCCAAGGACTTGGGCCCCTGCCACCCACGTGGGAGACCTGGAAGAAGCTCCCGGCAGCCCCTGGATTCAGCGCAGTCCAGACCCAGCCATCGAGGCTATCTAGGGTGTGAACCTCGGTCTTCTTTCAAAGAAATAAGCATTTAAATTTAAAGAACCCCTCTTTGCTAGGGGCTGCGCCTACCACCTTCTAACAGCTTTCTAGGGGCGGGCACTGGAGGGCCAGGGTCAAGCCACCTTGGGACGCCCACATCCCAGCATTCAGGATCACAGGGCCTGCTCTGCCTCTGACCCAGCTCCTGCTAAAGAGCCTGGGATGATGGCCCAAGTGCACGGCTTCCTGCCACCAACCTGGAAACCCCAAGAGAATTCCTGCTCCAGCCCTGCCTCGCCACAGCAGCTGTGGGCCATCGGAGGAATGAAATGAATGGCAGATCTGTCATTCTTCCAAATAAGCAAATCCTCAAAAACGTAAGTCACTTCCTCTAGGAGCAGCCCACCTCCCCTCACCGCCCCACACGCAGCCCCGTTTCACTCTTTCACATGAGTTACCTGCGTGTGCTAGAGATCTCCCATCCACTGGGTCACAACCCACAATGCCCACACCTGAAGCCGACGCTGGGACACCAACCCGGCTCCCTCACGGGGTGGCAAGAACTGCCTGCCTGAGCCTGCCGCAGAGCAGGAAAGCAAACGCAGGTACTGGGATGCATGACGCAGGGGCCATCTGGGAGCGAGCCAGCACACAGAAGTTCTTAAATAAATAAATAAGGTCTGCAGCGCCGAAACCCAGAACACAAACTCGAGCTCCCAGAACGCTGCCTGGCACGAACCAAGCCCCCAGTCCAGACCCGTCCAGAGCCCGACTCTGCGAAGCACTCGCCCTGGTGCCCGGCGACCTAGGACGCCGCCCTGTCTGCGTGTTTGCGCTGGTGGACCAGGAGGTCTACCTCCTGCATCAACCAAGCAACCACACCCGCACCAGCAAGCGACAACGCGACACGCACGAGACCTGGCCGAAAGCCGAACTCGCCGGTTCCCAGAGCCAAGGCCGCCCTCCTTCCGGGACACTACAGGGACGCACTTCCACGTCGGTGTCCTGTGCCTGCGACCCGCCTGGCACGCCCGCCGCACGTGTCCAAGTACGGGGGCGGGAGAGCGCTCATCACCTGGAAGCCCAAGCCGCGGCCCCCGGTGCTCTCAAGTGTGCACACCACCTCTCCACGGAAGGGAGGCCACCCCGGGCCACGTCCTGCTCCGCCTGGTTTGGGGACAGCAGGATCCTGGGAGGACCCCAGAGTCCCTCCGAGGCACGGACTTGGGGCTCGTGCCACCCAAATCCCACCCCCAGCCCCGAAGCCGGGCGGCAGCAGCGACGCGGGGCCGCGAGGCGGTGCACCCACCTACCTTGAGGCTGCAAGCCTCCTCTTCCAGGGACGCCATTTCCTCCAGGGAGGGGTTGGCAGGGCGCAGAGACCCCCTCGAGGAGACGAAGCCCCGCGAGCTGCGAGTCAGGCAGCCTTTGGAGGAGCGGGAGGAGGAGGAGGAAGAAGAGGAGGAAGAGGAGGAGGAGGAGCGCCTGCGGCGCGCGGAGCCCCGGGGTAACCTCGGCGCGCGGGCCACATCGTCCTCCCGCGGGGCTTTCAGGCGCTGGGGGCTGCGGGCCCCTCGCGACGGCGGCTCAGGGCTCGGGGCCGGCCGGCCGGGGGGGGCCACATGCCCGGGCTCCCGGACGCAGCTGCGCTTGCTAGGGCCCCCTTCCAAGGGGCCGCTCCAGGGGTGCTTGACCTTGCGCCGCTCCGACGCCATGGGCACCTGCGAGGCAGACACGGGGCGCCTCGGTTGGACCCCACCCTCCTCGGCCGCCCCACCCGCGCCCGAGCGAGCACGCCGGGCGCCGGCCCCGCACACCTTCCTCGCCTCCTCCCGCTGCCCATGCCAGTCCTCGGCGGGCGGGCGGGCGGGCAGTCGATGCGAGACGCCGCGAGGCTCCGGCCGGGCGTCCGCGCCCACGACGTGCTTCCGGGAGCGCCGGGCGCCGCAGCACAAAGTCCCCTCAGCGAAGGCGGAGCCCCCCGAAGGCGCCGCACATGGCGGGCGCGCCGGAGGGCACGGCCGGACCCCGCGCCGCGGCCCGCCCCGCTCCCGCGGCCCAGGCGGCCACCCCGGGCCGGGAGGGGCCCGAGCCGCTCCCGGCCGCCCCTTCCGCCGCGGCCCAGTCACCGCCCCTCGGCCCGGCCGCTCGCCCGCGCCTCAGCCCTCCGCGCAGCCGGCCGCGGCCTCAGCCCGCGGGGACGACCACTCCGGCTTCCCCGCGCCCGCCCCCCGGAACGAGCGCCGCGGCCCGCAAGCCAGCGCGCAACGGGGGCGGGGCCTGCGCCTAATGGACGGCGACCATTGCGCGTATCGGCAAGGGGCGGGACTCCGAGGAAGATGGAGCTCGCCTCTTGGTCGAGAGGCTTGGAGGCGGGACGCTGAGCCACACAGAGATCGCCCACTGGCTGGAAGCCGGGAGGGGCGGAGACGCTCACGTGGATTTGAAAAGCGCGAAGCTGCGGCCGGGCCGCGATTCCTCAGGCGCATCCTGACACCGGTAGGGGGCGCCCGCGAGCCCCGGGCCCGAAGCTCCCACGTTCACGTTCGCTGACAGAGCAGGACACCGTGGCTGAGGGAGAGCAAGGGACACCCCCGGGGCGTGGCAGGCTTGGAATTTAAACTCAGAAGCCACGAAATACAGAGTGCCCAAAGACGCAGACTATCTGCCTAGCAAAAAAATCCCATCAAGATGAGGTGCAGACAGGAAAATGCAACGCGTGGCATGCAGGGCTGCTGGCCTCAGTGATGAGCAGCCCACGTCACGAAATGATTCCTTATGAGACGGTACAAGGCCGTGAACCGACGACTGGGGACGAAGGGAAAGCCCTGACCTCTGGGCAAGACGGCCAGGTGCCGGCTTCAGGCCCCCACCCCACCCCACCTCTGGTCCAGCTGCGGGCAGACACACCCGGGAAGGGTGGGAGGCCAGCGCAGCATAGTGGGCTTGGGTCTGGCCGGGGTCTGGCCCAGGCCTGGCTGCCGGGGCCGTCTGGGGAGTGAGCCCACGCACGGAGGGTCTCTGGTCCTCCCTCCCTCCCTGTCACTCTAAGATTTTATTTATTTATTTGAAGATCAGAGTTACAGAGAGAGGTCTTCCATCACTGGTTCACTCCCCAGAGGGCCACGGTGGCCAGGCTGAGCCAGGCAGAAGCCGGGAGCTGCATCCGGGTCTCCCCCGCTGGTGGCAGGGGACTCAGCACTGGGGCCGTCTTAGCAAGCAGCAGCTGGGACGGGAAGCAGCGCCCGCGCGAGATGGGACGCTGGCCTAGCAGGCGGTGGCTTTACCACTTACTCACAACGCCAGCCCCAACCCTGCCTCTCAGAGAAATAGGTGAGTCTAAAAACAATGGCTAAGCTCATTTAAGAACAAACAGCTACCATTTTGCACTCATTAGGCAGTGATGACCCCGGAAATGCATGACTCTGGTGCGGATCCAAACAGACTCCTCGGACGGCCCCTCCGTGGCCCCACCGTCGGCAGCGCCTGGACCCCCAGCAGGAGCTGGTCAGACGCAGCCACTCCTTGCTTTTTGCAAAGTTCACAGCACACTGCGGAGCATCCCTGTGTCCCCTTGTGATCACGGGGCCAGCTGGGACCACCCCACCACCCAGCATCAGAGACAGGGGCGCAGGGCACATGGCTAGCCCAGGCCACAACCCCAGTTCCCGTGTCCAGGGAGTACGGCATCCATGCCATCACAACACCGGAAAGCCGTAAGCTGAGCCAACCTCGGGGGCCATCCCTACACACTAGGAACATCAGGCAAAAAGATCTGCGATGCAGGGGAGGAACAATGACCAAGGACATTTAAAACGACAATCGAAGGGGTCAGTGCTGTGGTGCAGTGGGTTGAACCACGCCTGCAGTACCAGCATCCCATATGGGTGCTGGTCTAAGTCCCAGCTGCTCCGCTTCTGATCCGGCTTCCTGCTAATGGCCTGGGAAAAGCAGCCAAAGGTGGCCCAAGTACTGGCCCACATGGGAGACCCCAATGAAGCTCCTGGCTACAGCCTAGCCCAGAACAAGCATATGGAAGACTCGCTCTCCCTCCTTCCTTCTCTCTCTATAACTCTCTCACATAAATAAAATTAGAGGAAAAAAAAAAGAGATCTAGAGGTGGGTGGGGCCATGTCTTTTTATAAATTTCTGTATCCCTAATGGCTTCACTGAAACAGAATTCACAGCCACTTGAAGTGTGTAACTCAGGGGCCGGCGCCGTGGCTCACTTGGTTAATCCTCTGCCTGCGGCGCCGGCATCCCATATGGGCACCAGGTTCTAGTCCCGGTTGCTCTTCTTCAGTCCAGCTCTCTGCTGTGACCCGGGAAGGCAGTGGAGGATGGCCCAAGTGCTTGGGCCCCTGCACCTGCATGGGAGACCAGGAGGAAGCACCTGGCTCCTGGCTTTGGATTGGCGCAGTGCACTGGCCGTAGCAGCCATTTGGGGGGTGAACCAACGGAAGGAAGACCTTTCTGCCTCTATCTGTAACTCTGTGAAAAACAAAAGAAGTGTGTAACTCAGTGGTTTTAGTGTATTTACAGAGCTGTGCACCATCACCAGGATCTGAGTTTAAAACACTGTCATCACCCCAAAAAAGACGCCTCGTCCACACCCCCATGCATCAGTCCGCCTTACTCAGGCAAGGCCACTTCTCTGGCTTGCCACTCGGAGGGCAGCCCCATGGGTCAGCATCTGCTGACGGTGTTCCAGCCGGCAGGCACCAAGGTAGCACAGAGCATCCCGTGGCAGGTCGAAGCACGCCTGTCCCTCCAGCCACCGCGATTCCATCAAGAAGCTCCACTCTAACTCCCCATCCAGCCTGCGCCACCCCTAAGCACTGTTAACTGGATCAAGTCGCCATCCAGTGAGGACCACTAACATCAGACTTTGGGCACCGCGCCTGTGACACTTGGGTACTCTGGGGGACACCCGGGCTAATATCCACACGACTGCAGGGCCCTAAACCCCCACCTACACACTCCTAGCGTAATCACGGATCGAGTGTCTGTCTCCACTCGGCCACGGGAGAATGGCATCACAGGCGCTGGCAGGCTGTGCACCCCTGCCTGAGCATCTGCAGGCTCATCTGTGCTGTTTCGCGGGCCGGAGCTTCATTCTTTTTTACAGCTAACAATGTCCCATCGTGTGACTTATTTGAAGGGTTGCTGGGTTGTTTCCACCTCTTCGCTGTCACGAATCATCTGCTATCTGCCTCGAGGTGAAGCTTAGGATGGATGGACGTTTTCCCTTTTCCAGGGTAGATACTGAGCAGTGCAGTCACCGGGACCTGGGGAAACACCGTGTCTAACTTTCGGGGAATCATCAAACTGCTTTCCAAAATGAGTGCACCACTTTGCACCCCAACCAGCAGTATTTCTCCACCTCCTGGCCAACACTTTTTGTTTTGTTTTGTTTTGTTTTTTAATCATAGCCATAATTCTGAGTATGGAATGTATCTCACTGAAGTTTCAATTTGCATTTCCTTGTTGACTCAGGAAGTTTAGCACCCCCAAAAAAAAAGTCAAATACATTTTTGGGGGCTGACACTGTGGTGCAAAGGGTTAAGCATCCCATATGGGCATTGGTTCGAGTCCCAGCTACTCCACTTCCAATCCAGCTCTCTGCTATGGCCTGGGAAAGCAGTACAAGATGGCCCAAGTCCTTGGGCCCCTGAACCTGTGTGGGAGACTCAGAAGAAGCTCCTGGCTCCTGGCTTTGGACTGGCCTAGCTCTGGCCATTATGGCCATTTGGGGAGTGAACCAGCAGATGGAAGACTCTCTCTCTCTCTCTCTCTCTCTGCCTCTTTGTAAATGAATAAATAAATCTTTAAAAAAAAAAATACACTCTCAGCTCTGGTAGGATACCCCAGCCTGGTAATCGTTTGCCTCTGGGAAGAGGAAATAAAAAGCCAAGAACCTGTGGGAGGGGCCAGCACAGTGGTGCAGCAGGTAAATCCAGCACCGTGACACCCACATCCCTCACGGGTGCTGGTTTGTGCCCTGGCTGCTCCACTTCTGATCTGGCTCTCTGCTACTGACCTGGGAAAAGCAGAGGAAGACGTGCCTGGGCCCCTGCCACCCACGTGAGACCTGGAAGAAGCTCCTGGCCCCTGGCTTTGGGCTGGCCCAGCTCTGGCCATTGCCACCATCTCGGGAGTGAAACAGATGGAACAGCTCGCTCGCTCTCTCTCCCGACCCTGTCTTTCCTTCTCTCTTTCTGTAACTCATTCAAATAAATTAAATAAACCCCTTAAAAAAAGATACCAGTGGGAAAAGAGTTGTTTTTTTTTTGTTTGTTTGTTTGTTTGTTTTTTGACAGGCAGAGTGGACAGTGAGAGAGATACAGAGAAAGGTCTTCCTTTTCCGTTGGTTTGCCCTCCAATGGCCGCTGTGGCCGGCACACCACGCTGATCCGAAGCCAGGTGCCAGGTACTTATCCTGGTCTCCCATGGGGTGCAGGGCCCAAGCACTTGGGCCATCCTCCACTGCACTCCCGGGCCACAGCAGAGAGCTGGCCTGGAAGAGGGGCAACCAGGACAGAATCCAGTGCCCTGACCGGGACTAGAACCCGGTGTGCCGGCGCTGCAAGGCGGAGGATTAGCCTAGTGAGCCGCGGCTCTGGCTCAAAAGAGTTCTTTTTATCACACGCAACTCTTAGCTAAACCAAAAAAAAAAAAAAAAAAAAAAATCAGACATAAGCTTTGAGGCCCATGGGAAGGCAGCGTGGTGGCTGGACTGCAGAGAATTTACACCCTGTGAGGCTCTGTGACTTCCAGATTGTCAAAGGGGCTCGTCAGCCTCTCCCAGACCTACTAAGCTGCCGTCTAAGAGGCAAGTGTCTGCAGCAGCAGCTTCCTGTTGGTCTCAGCCCGGGAAGCAGCCTGCTGGCCTGCACGGTGCCCACCACGTGCCAGGTCCTGTGTGGGCACGGGAGTGTGTGACACATGCACTCATCCAGTCCTCACAGCCCCAGGGCATAAGAGCAGTGTCTGCTCAGGTCACGTCCACGTGGGCCGGGACCCCAACGGCAGCTGCCGTCCTTGTCAATCCACAGCAGCCCACGAAGGGGACTGTGCAGCGCTTGCAACAGACAGGCCCCGCCCCTTGCCCCGCCCCAACCCTGGGACACAAGTACTTTTCACTTCTCCACGGTCTGGACAAGGGAATGTGGTCCCTGACCGTGCGGCCATGGACAGCTGGCACCTGCGGCTTCAGGACGCAGCCCACCTTCCCTGAACAAACTCACA